GGCCACCGATCTTCTCTTTATGACTCGTGCACTCGTCTCGTCGAGCCAAGAGCATGTCTAGTTTCACAGTGCCCTGTCCGAACAGACGATTGTACTTAGCTGGAAGCTTATGCACTAGATCAGAACCCTTCAGATTTCATGGGCCGAATTTTCCTCCACATTTTTCCTACAGGATAAACTCAATCGAAATTCCCAGAGTATCGATTGACCTGGACACTGCCCTTCACGTCATCCCCGGTCAATATCGAGCAGCCTTCACAGTGTGCCGTTCCACTTAACGGTGGTAAATACCACACCCGTTCAATCCTAAGGCGGTGCCGTAGCATGGTTTCGCGGGCAGCATCGTTATGTGGGCATTCAAAGAAGTTTTGGATAGTATCTCATTAAATTTCGGAAACTCCAGAAGGTTTTGAATATGTTATAGAGACATATGTGTTATACTAGACTCAAGCATTTTGTAGATCCAGGTCAATATACCGTAACAAATGCACAGGTTGGGATTCATTTCCTACATAAATAAACAAATAATCAAATAAAAAATAAATATTCATACCACTATTTCGAAAGAGCATTGCTTTTTCGAAATATTCGGAAAGTTCTCCAAGTTCGCATATTTCGCCTCTCTTCGGTTTGGGTCACTTAGCCGACAAATCCTCGATAAAGAATCCGTCCGCAAGTGCTGAATGCTCGCCCGAGCTTTCCGTCAAATCGCCGTTCGTCGGCATTGACTTGCCGTAGTCCTCATCTCCCGGCTACACGGGCACCATCTATAGACTCTACGCTGGAAACAAATCTGTCTGCAAATCGGCCTGTGATAACTGGTCCGTGCCGGTCCGTCGATGGCCTTGACCTCTGGGCGCCGTTGGGGGGGGGGGGGGGGGGGGGGGGGCCACGAGAAGATTTTATGAGTTGTGGATATTTCCGCTAGCTCCTTTTGCCGTGGACGGACTCATTCCCCGACTCACCCGAACCGCTCATAGGACATCGTCGGATGGCGCTAACCAGTCCGCGGAGGACGCAGGTTAGAGACAGGATCCTTGGGGTCATGATGGTGGGTCCCCCGGACGAAGAGCCCGCGAGAAGAACCGGAGACCTGAGTCGCCACCAATCACATCCGAACGTTCGCGGTCCTTCGACCAATCGAGGCGGAACATTCCACGTGACAGGCTCTGCATAAAAAACCCACACATTCCACCCAATGATCGAGCCAATGAGAAGCCGTCCGTTCCGTGCTCGGCCCAGCTTCCCGGCAGCATCCTTCTTTCCCGGGTCTACGAGTCCCAAGTTTTACCCCATCCAGTGCATGTGGTGTAAATATACCACACGTCCATGCATGTGTCATGTGGCATGTGCACATGAAGAACACATGAGACTGCATGCATGTTGATCTTTTCGAAGTACCGTCCAACGACGAGCCACAATAATATTTGGGACCTATCTTTCCAAACATGAACTCAAGCGCGGAAGACGGGCCAGGCCCCATGTTGAATTTCCACAACAACATTCCATGACGTTTCGAGAGATCGTGTGAATGGTGAGCTAACATGTATACACAGATATTTCTCTGCATTTACAGTATAAAGCCCCGACGTTGTATAGTACGGATGTTCCTCGTAGCTAGCGCAAGTTCACTATGTATATCTGCGTGGCCATGTTATGTCATAGTATGATGTCAGTATTCACATGTATTCCTTTGAAGAGTCATTATTCTATGTAAACTAATCCCTCGGGAATAATCTCCAAGACGTCTTTAAATGTATAAAATTCCCTAGGAGAGATCCAAATGCATCGTTGTCTTTATTGTTAACTTTGATTCGAATCAGGAGCTTTCAAAATGTTAGACATGTCACATGCATGAAATATAGACGGGAAAATATTGGGAATGAATCATGAGAAATGTATTGATATCTATTAGATAGATATTACGAATATGAAGAAACGTGATAGCAACAAGGAATCATTTTGCTGATACGTGTACTTTGAAATCTTCTCTACATGAAAAGCCTCTCGTGGTTCCAGATTCTCAACCGTTGTCTCGAAATTCATAAAACTGAAAAAGGAACGTACATCCACGTATGGCTGTATGAACTAGGAGATCACCAACATATATTTATCGCAAGCTTTACTTCCACAAATAAATCTCTCTTTGGTCCCAAATAGAATAAGTATCTTCCTATGTCCCGAAAAGTGCTACTGGCGATGAACGGGATTTCAGTTTAAGGCATCAAAAGATAGAATCTTTTCCTCTTAAAATAATTTTACTTCGGGATATTTTTCCTATTTTTAATAATATGAAACTACGAACTTACAAGAGACATACTACAAAGTGGATACAACCCGCTTCGAAATTGGACTGAGGAAGAGTAGTTGAAGTTGTGGTGACTGAGTTTATAAAGTAGGAATAGGGGACAACCTGTTGCTCGCCTTTTGCGCTAGACCAAGTACAAAACAACGCATAACTGTAGTTACTACTTAAGCAAGGATCACATACAGTTCTGAAAGTATTGGGCCTTTATTAGTGCTTGGTGCTTGGTGCAGTGTTCTGTCTGGAGGTAGAAAATGCGAAGTGCTACAATATCTTGAAAGGACACCACTTTTTAGTGCAGAAATAAATGGCCAACCTACTGTATTGTGACTGCTGGCAAACGAAACTGTGTAATGCTTCACATAGAACGTGAAGCATTACTGTGTTTCGGCTTTAGGATGTTGACTGTTCCCACTAGAGTGCTTACTGATAATAAATCTGCTCAAATAATACGGAAGCAGATAAACCATCTGAAATAAATCTTGTAAAGCAATTCGTACAAATTCAAGGAGAAGACTAATAAAGAGATTTACTGAACGATACAAACACAAACCACAACTTCCCGAGGACATTAGACAAGGTGTCTTATGTCGTGTCTGACGATCAAATTATTCAAGCAGTGACACCAATTACAGATCTCTCTACTGCCCGATATGGTACTGCATGTTCGAACAGGTACTCGCTTGTTATGACAGCATATATCTGCAGCATTGAAGGCACCTGAGTGTGTGATGTAGAATACTGTCATTCACAAGATAATTTTAGGAATTTTAGGATCAACAGGGTCCACAGGACGAGAAATTCGAAACGCAAATCGGGACATAAAGAACCGAAATGAAATCAATCAGCATGTTTCCTTGGGATCTGCTCGCGTTTATATAATTGATCATTTGTAGTGGAACTCCGTAGTTGTCCACTTTGATGAGGTACCAGTCAGGATTCTTCTTGTGATTATTGACATATATTCTTCGTGTCATAGAAGTAAGAAATAGGAACGTAGTATCCTTGCAGACTCTTTACTATCGCCCTGCCTGTGCCCAAAGAACTTTCTCCCAAACTACTGGTACAATCTGATGCCAGATTTTGGAATGATTGGCACCCTTGGGTCTTCTCCAAGAGTTTTTTTTCCAGTGCTTCTTGGGGCCCAACTGTTATCACTTACGTACAGGATTCTTCCTTCCAATCCACAGGAGTTCCAGACTGCAGAAGATACACATTGTGACATCGAATTCTTTGCTTTTGTTACGATCTGGGTAAGGAAGGGACACTGATTTTGACTGGATCATTGGTGGTTGAAATAGTTTTGATGCAGTGAAATCAATGATTTCAGCTTTTTTCTTGTTAAGTGATAGAATCTTGTGCTTGGCATCAATGGTACATATTATCTATGGTACAAAAGGTCAATACATAAAGCGAATACTAATACTGTTCGCACGTACTACATATTATTTCTTGTCTTCTTTCTCCTCTCTCATTGCATACAGGTAGTCGGACCTTGGCAGGTTTCATTTAAGAGCATTTACAAAAGCAAGCGTAGAACATCACATAGGACACTATTAAATAAGAAAAGTAGGGCGATAACCATATCTTATCTTACCGTTATTTCCGGTCTGGACTAGGTTCAAAGAATATCAATGTTGAAAACAATATGATAATATATATATATATATATTAACAATCGAGGTCAAATTGGTCCATAAATAAAATTTTCATCCAAATAAAAATATAATCTGTATGCGATTTTTTTAAAAAAAAACCATATTATAAGTTTCACAATAATGATTAACTACACATAAAGCTTAGAATTTTTTACTTAAATTAAAATAAAACTATATAAGTCTATAAGTTCATCATGTTTCGTGGCATTGAAAGTGATGTTTGACATGCATACATCTTAATTGTATTTTATATAATTAAAAAATCTATGTAGAAAATTAATGGTTTGTGATCATGAATAACCAATATATGTAGTCAGAAAACCCATATATTGAAAGAAGTTGAATCTAAAGTGATGACAGATGTCAATTTTGAACGAAACCAAAGTAAAATATAGATTTGACAACTCTCCCTATATACCGAGGATGTACACTTGTCCGAAGCAAAGGCATAGACTGGCTTTAGCATTATTACGATCGCTGGATTCCCAAAAAAAAAACATAGGACTGCAAAGTGTACAGAAAACTCTAGATCCATCAAAGAAGAATGTAGACTCTAGTGCAACGGGTGGGCAATGAATTGCATGTAGCTCAACGTTTGGCTCATCATTCATTCCAGAATTAAGTCAAGCTCTGGTCGAATAGATACTGGCTGCAGTGGAAGCATTTGTGAAGACAAATTCTGCACTGCTTGGCCGTTTGGGTTGCTTGAAACTTAGAGAGGATCCCTTGTGCACCTTTGACCTTGAATAGTTTAGAATTATCTCACATACATTGTTATCTAATGAGTTGGATGAGACTAATTACTCAAATCTAGTGTAGGTTAAACAAAGTTCCATCATCGCACTCACAGTCTCCTCCTCTTGCTTATAAACCTCTGGCTACTTCGATCCAATTCAAACCATGGGCTCGATAAACTGCAGTCAAATTGTTGCAATTACTCTACGGCTTTTCCAGTAAGTCGAAGGCGCATAATTTTGTATCTAAGTTGATCTCGGTCGTCATTTTATTTCCCTCTTTCTCTGATGATTCGTTCATGCCTCTAGTCACTGAGTGCCTTTGCGTCTGTTCCTTCTTTTACCGTTTGGCTTCAACAAATGTACGCCTTGATGGTGCCTTCCCATCGTCTTTACGATCTTACTGTGTCGATTCCCTCTCATGAAGTTGGATCTGAACACTAATCTCGCGAACGATCTGATTCGTCCCAGAGTCTTCGGATTCGGATGGGAAACCGTCAATTGTAAATTCTTCGTCCTGGTGCCGGACATGAGGAGTGCGCTGGCGCTTCGAATAAACTTGGCTGCTGTGAGTGCAGAGGTTCAAGGTCAGTCGGTTGTGTTTGGTCAGACGATTTGTTGATATTTGGCAATAATGTTGCCTTGATCGAAGTGTGATTCTGGGATCTGACACGGGGCGAGAGGAAAGGAAGCGAGCGAAATTATTGTTCCTCGAGTCGAAGCAGCTTCGCTTTTGTCCACCATGACATTAACTTCCGGCTCTTTCACTTGACGCGGAACCAACGTCGGCACTCGTGAAAGGATTTTCTTTGGCACCAACTGCTCTTTTGTCCAACTTCATTCAGTCATGGCGGTTGGCCCGGCACTCCTTTCAAGAGTACTCGGCATGGGACGTCGACATTAACGAGTCGCCCGGTGACCGTGAGTCTGCTCGATTGACACAAGTTTATCCAGCAGAGGACTCGAATTTAGGGCCGATTCCGTAGTAGAAGCGAGATTCCCTCTCGCAATCACCGACGGCTGGAAAGTTGTTCGATTTTACTTTCGATTTTGCCAGGGCTGACTAACCATAGTTGCCTACAGGACAATCTTCCCGCGGTAGGCCGGGCCTGAAGTTCTCAACAGGATCCAGAATCTTTGCACATGGGTTCCTGAATCCCCCAAATCAATTGATACTGCGACAATGTGTCTTGCTTGGTGACTTTTACTGCATTGATTGCAGCGGGGGCACTCCCCGCATGGTCTGTCATACCTCACGGCGAAGGGAACAAGTCAAAAACCCTCTGGGTTGGTCGTGTGCTTGTCAAACGATGTCATGCAATGAGCTCTCTCCGGTAAGTGGATTGGAAACTGTCCCCGGTCTTAGGTGGGAGGGAGCTCTCAATGGTTCAATGGTTCACAGGGTTCTCTCAATGGCTCGCCGAAGCGACTTGGGTGTCCATTCTTGTCACATTCACTCCCTCCGCATTTCTTTTTCCCTTACCATTGCTTTCCATAGCCATAGCTTCCAACCCGTGGAACACACTTTTGCACTGATGCCTTCATAATCCGGTGAGTGAACAAAACTTTTCAATAAAGGAAAGTAGTGAACTGATAGTGAGCAAATGACAGAAATCTCGAGCAATCGAAAACAGGATGCTGAATTAGCTTTCCTTGTCACCGCCTCGAGCAGTGACAAAGATCTGAAGCAACAGGGTGCAGTGAATGTACGTTGTACTAGAGTTGCACTCATAGCTCGGTAGATTAGAGAGACAAGGGATAGGTCAGGGCGAGAGGCAAGAAGACATTGTGAGCATGCATTCGCAATGGACAGTTCCGCTTGAAGATTAGATCTGCTGTGGCTTCCATTGTCCTCACTTGCCACTTGACTTCTTGATCTGACTTCTTGTTATTTTATGCCCCAAATTTTGGTTGACCACATGGCCACTCATCAATATCAGTTTTATAAAAGTCATAAACTCAACTAACGTGATACTACGTTACATCCATGGTTTCACTTGTACCCTGGTGTGAAGTTTATAATTCTATCACCGATGATCTCGATTCTCAAAGCCCCAGTTGCAGAGACTTACGAACGAGATTCGTTATTCGGTCCAGAATTGTCTAAGTTTCGATTGCGGACTCCTATTATTGTGTGCATTGCTTTCGGAAGAAAGAGTGGCAGAAATCGGTCAATGCCTCACGGAGTTAGAACAACTCCCTAGGGCGACAACAGTATGTCAAGTTGTCAAGCAGAGAAGGGAGATCCTTATCAAAACTTGTGTCCTTCATGAAAGCAGTGCAGTGACATATGATCGCACAGAAATAAAGTCTCAATGCAAGAGACAGATGGAATTAACCCACATCTTCATTCATTGCTAGCTCGCGTGGGCCCCATTGACCCAGTAGGTCCTGCAGATTCCTGCTCTACAATTCAAGACTGGCTGCGCTAGAGCTTCGCGATTTCACGGTTTAGGGTTTAGCCATCAGCGAGCGTCGAGACAAGTTCCTAGCTCTGTTCTCGAGGTCAATCAATGCTCAAGCCAACAAGTCCATCCAGGATCTTCCGCTTTAACTCAGAACTCGTAAACCGGTGTCTCTTGATCTTGAGCGTGAGATATCACCCTCAAGATCATAGTAGAAAATATCAGTTTAGAAATTAGAAGAGAGAATGAACCCACTTCTGTACAGTCTTTGGGGATTCAGTCTTCAGATTGGCAATATGTAGAGAAACACCCCCAAAATTGATCATTCAAGCCAATAGAAAGATTCTCCCCACGATTATTTTCTCCTGGAAACATTTCGAGTGGGAAAAAATAATCTGTTTGCATGAAGCCCGAATAAGCATCCAAACTTGTATTAAATTATGTAGTAAAGTTACAGTGATGGAACAAATTATTTGATGAGAACGATCAAAACTCAAAATATTTTATGGTACCCAACATGATTTATTTTATCTTATGTCCCTGTAGCCCACTGTCATTCAAATAATAATACAAGTTTTTGTAAACCGATAACTTAATAATAATTTACAACACATTTAAGATGATTGATTACCTAATCAAAAACTTGGTCTCGGATGCTAAAGTGCTTCATCCATGAATGATTACCAACACATATATATCCGAATTTGGTTCTCCAAATTCGGATAAACAAAAAAATTAACAAAATTGTCTCACATTAACAGAGGTCCATAATTCTCAACAAAGATTGATTATAAAACATCCCCCTCGCTTCAATTATTACTGGTAATAACAGATGGCCTTTACAAATGGTAAGACATGAGAATGGTGATATTAACGAATAGACTATCTGTGAATAACGCTTTCAATGGGTTATGATGAACTAGAAGAGTCACACTTGTTTGGATCCAGCATTCTGGCCATTGTCTCGAGGCATTTTTGAGTTTGATTATGGATGACGGGAGAAATTTGCTTGATAGGATTCCATCAAGTTTCAATTTACTCGATGTGATCCCACCGAAGGCATACCGTAGTTGATTTCTTGCTGCTGCAGACAACATTCTTACAATGGGAAAAGACATCTTCTACTATGGATGAAATTTCAAAGTTCACTGAACAACAAAGTCTCATCTTTCTACGTATACATTCCATATTGGCATTCAAGCGTAGACATTTTGATGAACAGTAGTTAGTACCAACTGACATATGAGAAGATTGGATGAATACACAAGTTTATGAATCACTGTGGTTTTGTACATCTAGATTTCATTCATGTCGACCATGATTAAGAATAAACAGAAAAACCATAATTAATGTCTCCAAACCCAGGATCGTTCAAGTTTGAGAACTGCCACACTCTTTATTCATAAATCATATGAAGCAGCTCCAATGGATGTATAGCTTTAACACTCCGTTTACAAAATGTGGCAACAATGACAACCTTTCTAATCTACTTCACTCAAGCAAGAAAACAAACAATTGCACTAAGACGTGCTCTGAATTTTGGTCAAATCCATTGGTATATTTCGAATAATGGAACCCATGCACGATATTACGTCTTCCATAGGTAGTTGCCACAACATTAAGTTTTCACTGTTCTACGTCAAACAAAAATGTTTTTGAAAATTGAATCTTGCTCTATGGCTGTATCTTCTTTACTTGCTTTTGTTTTAGAGAGCAACATGAAACTGATCAGCAACTCTAAAGATGATAAATTCATAGAAAGATTTCAATTTTTTATACCAATCTCTTCAACATGTATAAAGTAAATAAAAAAATTATTTTCACCATCAATATAAATCTTAATGAGTGAATGACATAATATATATATTCAAGAAGCATATGATGTTATATTCTTATCGTGTCGGTGGAAGAATGTCAAAATGTCTGGTTCTAAATCTTCTCTCAAGATCTTTTGAATCATTTGATGCTCTAGAATCATCATGATATAAAATCATGATGATTTAAGGTTTAGCATTTATTTCCAATGGAATAGAGTCAAGTGTATCTCATACATTATTTGATGATTCATGGTATGAATATTCGTAAGAGATTGAAATTGGTTGAGCATCTGCAATTGCTTTATTCAACGTGAATGTATTGATTATTATCTTCTTACATATTTGAAAGTCAAAAAAAGTCAATTCAATACTATTAGATATTATGCTCTAATCATATTCATGATAAATATTGGAAGATGAAAAAAATAAAATTAATGTATTTTTGAATAATTCCATTGGATATCAAATCTCACAATTTTAATTTTATGACTTGAAAATATCAACAACATTAATTTTTTCTATATTTTATTTCATGAAATCAAAACACATTATTTTCACATTTCTCTTCATGTAATGTTTCATGTAAAATTTTGTATCCATGAGATAAGAGTTGATGAACATTCTTGCAATAAAATCCAAAATATAAAAATAAAACAAAACTTTGTTCATATTTATAATACATTCTTCTAAAATTGTCATTGCTCTACATTCCTTGTAATTTCACTCTATATGGTTTTGCCATTCAAAACAAGACATGTAGAAATCTTGACAATATCTCCTATTTGATTCTTTGGTAAGGATGAGATTTGGGTTTTGAGTTAAAAATATATCTCCAATATTGAAATTTCGCCTCTATCTCTCAAACTCGTTTTTACTTTATTTTTTCACTTTTTGATGCAAATAATTTATATTTCACGTTATGTTATTTTTTATTTTTATCTACTTTTGCTTTTTTTGAATCTTTAAATTTAGCTTTAATTGCATTTATGACATTATCCAGATGTACTCATGTTTTTGTCACTTAATACAAGATAAATATGAAAATTTTAAAATTTTTTGTAATGATAATTTTAAAAAATGAGGATGATATTACAATAGGTTGTAAATCAATTACATGAATATGGACGTGATTTAAAATTCAAGATTTAATTATTAGGTTAAATCGTTTATTTGATATTTAGATATTGAGTGTAATAGTATATAATGATAGATAATCAAAACAATGATTAAAAAAATAATCTATTACTGTATAAATGAACTTTACCTACATCTCAACTCAGTTCAAAATTTTATTCAAACTCACTAATATGATTGTAATGAATTATTTATCATTTCCAAAAGATATATATTTAACTTGAATTCAAAGTAAACTGAAATTGTCTATATGAAAACAGCTAAGTTCAATGAACATAATTATTTGATTACAACCTTATAGAACAAAAAATGAAGGAACAAAAATTTAATAAGAATGTTCAATCAAAATGTATGATTTTGATAGAATATTTGAACATGTTGAAAGAAATTAATTTTCTCATAGTTATATACAATTTGGAATGTTTGAAAAAAGTTACCAATACCAACCAAAAGAATTCAATCTAATCTCTTTACTTTATAATGTTGGCAAAATGTGAACTCACAATGGATGGTTAACTTTTCCTGCATTCATAATCTTGGAACTTTCTCACCGCCCTTCTTCCCAAACTTCTCTGCATTACTGCCATAATTCCACCGCTCGCAGTGAATGTCAGCGAGCATGCTGCTTGCTGCGCTCAATCGGATTAACTCGGGCAGAGAGTATGTTGCCCGAGCTCGCTGATTCTGATCTTGAATAAAAGACACAGGAAATATTCCAACCTCCCTATCCGCATTCCTCTGCACCGGTCCCAAAGTTGACCGGAACATTCCTTCGAGCAATAGCACGAATGTTCTCTCTAAGCAATAGCTAATCATGGGCTTATAAGTCTCCTAATCTCTCGCAATCATACTGCTAGACTGGTGCTTTTACACGGAGGTCAGCTGGCCCTACACTTAATTCAGTGAAGATGGCATCAGTCCCTGGTGGTTCCAGTTGAATGTCGACTCCTAGAAACTTCATGCTACCGTCGTACCACTGAAGCCTTGTTATCATTTAATTGCCTGCGACAAAGTTAGCGCAGTTCAGGGTTAGCGCAGTTAGCGCAGGGTGACGCTGGCCAGGATTGTAGTGGTGCAACTCAACTTTTTCCGGAGCGTGAAAGCATGGGTTGATCATGCACATTGTATTCACTTCACTATCTTGTAGCGACATATCACTCAATAACTTGCTAAGGTCTGCTCTCACTTGCTGTCAACTGCATTTCTCACAGGGGGCCCTGAGACTATCTGAGCTAATTTTTTTCTTCCAACTAAATTGCTTGCTTAGATTATTTGCATGAATAACTCTTCCACGCATCCACGGCCGACTTAGTTGTACAACTGTGATATGAAGATCCAGGTTCTACATGAGTTTCGAATAAGTAAATTCGACCTGTAATCTCTCGTCACGTGTTTTGGAGGAGTACATTGTAGGTTCTGCACCTTCTTGTGGTAGGTAGGTTGGTGGGACGGCGAATATTTCTTAACCGTGTTTTGAAGCCGTGACTCGGTCAGCTCACGCACACTTTTTATTTTTGACCTTCAATAATAGTAGGTATTTCTACGAAAGCCCTGTAAGACGTACATAATCGCCAGCCAGTAATTTCACTTCTTCTGATACATTCCCGAGCCACAAACCACGTGATTCTTCATGAGATATCAATTATGTGTTAAAACTAAAAAGCACAGAAACAAACTGTTGCTATATGCCGGCTGCGGGAATCGTGGACACTCAAATCCCATCTTCTGACTTGAGGCTGATTTCATGACTTACTACAATGCACACTCTGCAATGATGGCCTCTGTACGAGGCTGATAAATTCGGATTGTTGAAAATCCAATCTCGCCTACTTTGACACAACATCCTGCTCTCTAGGATTTCCAGTTTACTCCGTGTACCATTACATCGATAACAGTACAGTGGAATCTCCCGAGGAGATGGATTTTACTGGAATATTGATGATCTGGAAGAGAAACAAATGGGTACTTAGGAATTACAACATGCCCAACAATTGATTCTTCTCAGCTAGCATCACAGATGCTACACTCAACAAGCACATGGTAAACATCATGAATCGGAAGTTGAATCCCAATAACTCAGGGTTATTCAAACTTACGGGACACAGGAGAATACGTAAATTTGCAGTGGTAGAGAAATCAAGCAAATTTCACAATTCTATCTAATCCAAAATCTTTACACGGTGAATCATTTTGGTAATCTATTTATAAACACCTTCTCACCTAGTTCTACTGCTCACTGCTGAGACAATTGCCATTACCGTCTCTGTATGTCTCCAAGGTCAATACTTTTTCACTACCACTGGCACAAGATTCTCGACAAAGATTAATTATCCTTGAATTTGTACAGTATGCGTCCACTCCTCGTACCAATATGATCTATGAGGCTCAAGGTTGTCCTGTTGTGGTTACCAAGTTTTAGAACCTTCGGATTTTGAATCTTTGGTGTACTTCCATAGAGCTGCTCCTAGAAGATTTGCTGCTGAATGAGCAGCCATAGGAGTAGCAAGATCATTGGTGTAAAGTCCTAAAATTCCGTACGTAATACCCACAAAAGAGGCCCTGCACACAAGGAAGATACTGTCTGATCAAATTCTCAAAACCGTAGCTCAACTTAAGGGCTCCAAACCAGTACAAACCTACTCTGCTCTCTTCAATTTCTCAGCTTTGAGTCAGTTCCTAGAAGGATTGAAACCGCAGCTACATATTAAACTAAGAGAATACCCGCAAATCGCGAGGATTGGGGAACAAGCATCTTCATAGACAGGTAGATCAACCTAATGCCAACATAGTTCATCTAAGCTCATAGTATGCTCACAGTGACGTGGATGGTCAAGTGACGACTTTTTACGCGAGTTACGGTTTAGGTACAAGTCATATTCTTGAGGCTGACTAGACAGATAAAACTAAGGAGGACACATACCAGATACCGAATGCCGACTTTCTACCGCCGCTGATATGCAAGACCCCAAATATGATTCCCGCTCCCAAGACACCCCTCCAATCGGGTCCAAGTGCTGGTAGCAGCGCCCCACGAAACAGAAGCTCCTGCGCATGAAAGAACCTTGTTGGTACTGCTTCGTTCGACAGTGATAACGAATAAATCAACTCATTTTCTCCCAAATAAATAAGCTGAGTTCTATTAGCTATCTCAACATCCAGGGATGGCCTGCCTAAGCAACATGTACCACCAACAAAGTCACCAGCTTCCTCTAGAATGTATCTACTTCCTGATTCTGAAGGTATCGAATCATCCTCGGAATCGTACATACGGAAAATGTCACGTTCCAAACACTCGGTAGAAATGCTACGGGTGACAACATTACATAACTTCTCGACCTTACTTCTCTTCGTGGAAGGTTACTGCAAGTGTTTGTACATGAGGAAAGGAATGGACATAAAAACAATCTGATGAAAGCAAAAATGGTGCAACCCCATCCATGACACTCAGCACGTACCCATTGAAGATAATTTCACCTGAGGTAAAAGCTTCAACAGGAAGATGAGGGACTTGGATTGGCAGTTGCTAGACAGGAGGGATAAAGAGAATATTGCTTACTTCGTGACAGATAGGGAGACCACTGAGCTAAGAAAAGGAGAAAGAAAAAAGGTGGAATGTTACCTCACTAATGCCAGATAGATAGGCCACTGTAAAGTAATCAACTGGTTTCAAGTTTCCAAGTACCTGAAAGTACAGTTTAGCCCAATGTGAGATCAAGTCTACATAGTTACTTTTACTTACTTACTTGATTTCAAGTACAGCACAAGACTCAAACTATCCTTGCATATTTTCAATTAACCACTTTTTTGGCGAGAGCATGTGTAAGCACCCGACAGTTGGAGACTTCACTCGATGCAGCGAAATCTGGCCATATCCTTATGAAAATTTGTCGAAGGGCAGAGACAAGCACCACCACACCTACAGTTGGTATGATATGCCACAGTTCTGTCGTATCTGGAGAAAACAAATTACCAAATTAGTTGGTAGACATCGATCAGACACGCAAAGAGAGTTGCATGCCGAGTAAATATAATCGATTCGTGGTGCAGAATGAGATCATCGCTTTAATAACACATGTCAAAATTGGTGAGATATTCATATTAAAGAGTGTAAGTCCCCACTCTCCGACATTAAAACGGTTAAAACATACACATATCTGACCTACTCCGTTCTATATCTAAGCTATCTGCTCCGTTCTCCGTATATGACAACTCCGCTCATGTCTCTAGCTTGATGTTACGTTGGTTTCAACCTTTTAATCTGAAATTTTGCCGGTCTAGAAGGTATACAACTGAACTTCAAATTGAATCCACTCTGTACAGAGAAAAATAAAGAATATCATAGAACCATTTGCAGCAGTTGTATAGAGCTCTGTTGCCATTGTCTAAACAGACATCAACATACTTCGTCATAAGCAAGCTCAGACAAATGCATTCGAGACCACGCACTAGGCCAGCATAGCTTAATACAGAACCTCTGAAAAATTCATAAGCTAGATAAAATTCTTACACGGCATCAATAACATGCAGTCTGGAACCGACCAACCACTTGTAGCAGCCGTGTGAGAGGCCTATAAAATTGCAACAAATTCCGATCATCACAATGTTCCTACTGCCTACACCAAATGTCAAAAGCCAGATATTACGAGACATGAATGAAACTCAATTAAGATAGATGATAAAGTTGCAAAGTTATGACGTTGTTTCTTCTATCGATATAAAATATAGATTCGAATTCATGACAAACCGCCTTCCAAACACTTGTTTTAGTCTAGCAACCAAAGAATAATAGGAGCTTTTAAACAAGATTTGAGTAAGATCGGAGGATGGGCACGAACCTGTCGTACGAGGAAACCTGCTAAAGCGAGAGTTGCAGATGTACCAATGCATGATTTCAAAACGACTCCTCTCTGAAGGGGAGCGTACATGCTTTCATCTGTAATTTGATTGGATCCAATTTTTCCATTCTCTTCCACAGCCAGATTCAGCTTCGAATCTCTCGTCTTGCTCTCAGATTCTTCCAGTGGAACAACTCTGTCAGAACTCCGTCTTTCTATGTCGGAGTCGAATCCCTTTCCAGGTGTTGAAATTCTCGTCTTTCGCTTTTGTGTACGATCATTCTTTGCGAGAGCGAATGTACCATATCTGCTTCTGGGGTAGGAGGTCTGCCACAATCAGTGAAGCAAGTGAGTCAACAGAATGAAAGATTGCTCCAACGGCACGGCACGTCAAAGACGATGTGTTGGACCGGTATAGACGTAGATATGAATGAATGACTTCCCCTTGTGAAATAGCACCTATCGAGTATTCGTGACTGATCACCGGGTTCGAACGTACAGTACAATCATGTCTTTCACGGTGGCTTTCCAATCGCCAGTGAGCACGACGCGGACACAGAATCTATTCAGCCAATATTTTATCTGGAGATTCGCTTGGCAGGATCTCCTTACAATTACGACATGCTGGATGACAGCCAAACTTATCTGTTGAATTCACCCAAAAAATTAACAAACACCAGAGAGTGTACCTACCTCAACTCTACCCGCTGTATTCTGATATTAAAATGCTTCGAAAGAAAGGCACGCAGAGTTTGAAAACGGTATATACAATGCACAACGATGTAACAACCCACTAAAGAGAAGCACCATAAGCTTAGAGCGTGACTTCGCCCATAACACCGTGCAAGCCTCGAGCGTTGATCATACGCAGCAACAGCAATCTAGAGTGTCAGAAGTGGTGAAGAGGAAGTTGCTAACCGGGGAAAAAAGCTGGCGACTGGAAACTGTCGTCGTTGCCATGTCTGCCGACCTCCCTCCCGGACAGTCACCAAGACACTTGCACTTGCACTAGCAGCAATGAATGGCCCAAGACTCTGATCGTTACAGCCTAGGCTCATTGGGCATTAACGCTCGGTCCTTCCAAGGACAATTCCATCGCTGCCTCACGACACGTATGTTATAGTTTTACAAAGCCTGTGGCCAACAGAATAAGTCGATTCTCCATGCTGGGCAGCAGCAGCATCAGTCTCTACCCCGTCCTGTACACACAGACTTGAAGATCCGATTCCCGCTTAGCCATGAGCCCGCCAGCCAGCCAGCAAGCCTTCTTCCTTCAGTACTTTCAACGAGAAATGTGCGTCAGAAGATCTTCCGAGAGTGCACAGTTTCTCTCGCCATGCTTGCAGCTATCGAGGGCACCACAGCTGAGCCAGCGCCAGCACTTTTGTGGAGCCCATCAAGTTATCCAAATCCACACCAAAGCCGTTGTCCCGTTCCTTGCACTGGCAGCAGCAGCAAGAGTCTGGAGAATAATCAGAGTGTTCTTATAGACTGTGGCGAGCCATGCTCTAGAATAGTGCCACTTCCTCCTCGTGTGGATAGCAGTGAAGGTCCCACAGCAGCACCACCACCATCACTGTCCTCTAGTGCTGCTCATAGGCCACTGTCAGCCGCTGTCATCAGCTGGCTGGCGGCGTGGAGCCACAGCCACGGACACGTGGCTCCAGGGACCTTGTACATCATCCGAGGAGCGATCCTCGACGCTCAAAACCTCAAAGTCACCAGCTCTTTGCCGTTGTTGTTACTCCGGGTATCACTCCTCTTGGCTCACAAGTTCATCATGTCATCGTTTCACTCGCTCTGCATCAATTTCTCGAGCACGTGAGACAACACCGACGATTAGTTCCTCTGTGCTAGCGCACTGGATTCGAAATTCGCTGGTATAAATTTCGCCTACGTTCCGTCGAGATAGCAGTCGTTCTGCTTCACTCCGTGAGCTTATTTGGTAGTTTGTTTTACTCCAGGTAATCAATCCTCGCCTTCTACTAGGGCCTTGTACACTTCCATCACAAGAATCGGTTATAATTAGGAGGCGGTTTGTTTCGCCCTCGTGGTCAATACGACTTTTTCGGTTTCGACAAGTTTTGACTGATGCAACCCGACCAGCATACGTGTGTAAGTAAGAAGGTGATGTAGCCATCCGCTTTTCGTACACGTCCAGGGTTTGTGAGCTCTGGGATAGACTACAACCACCTCTATCTGAACTTTCACTACGCTATCCTGGGCGTGACAGCACCAATGATCAACTAAACCATGTGCCTGTTGGCACATGTTTTCCTTTGGAGTGACAAAAGCTTCAGTTTACTTGTTGCAGTTTGATGATAATGAATTGATCTCAAGAGTAATGTGTGTCCTCGTTCGTCCCGCAAACCTAACGTGGAAAGTATACGCACGAGGTTGTACTCAGATTTGTATCCACTTCAATCTATGTTGATTTTGTAGGCTCGTACGTACTTTGGGAAAGTCAACAGTTTTCCAAAGTACTCGAGGCACGACAAAAAAGGACTGTTCTCGTCCTATCCGGCATATCGATCATTCACATTTGAAGAGTGATAAAAAATCTCGTGCAAATCCATTGAGAAATTCCATCAGATAATCAGCCCTATTGGGTAGAGTTCCAGTGTCACGCGCTTAATGTCTGAAGGGATAAAAACCAGTAAAAGAATAAGTGACATGACGACAGTAATATGAGTCGATTAATCTAGCAAGCATTCATTGGGATCCTGGTACAGTCTATCTGCACTTACATCTTTCAAGATACATTTTCTGTTGTCTCAGCTAAAATCGTGGCATTATATGTACCTCACTCCAAACACTCGGTCTGCTTTATGTGAGAATAAGCACATGAGAAAATATGTCAGGAGATTCGCAAGGAAAGCTCGCTGGCCCTTGGAGTGAAAAAATATCTCAAGACAGCATTTATTCTCGAGACTCTTGATATTGAGAGGTGCTGACACGGCTTCCCTCGAGTACCAACACTTGTTATACACAGTAATACGTTCCCCTAAGCTTGGGTCGGAAGAAAACTTCTGACGCACTTCTTCCTAGTGATAAAAAAAAGAGGGTAAAGGCTAACACTCTACTTGACCGTTGCAAGGCATCCCTGTCTTGGTTCGCCTAAAGCCTAAAAGGTCCGACTTCAATTGATATCCTACACGAATAACGAATAAAACGAAAACTGCACGTGACGCTTTCAAATAGCCATTTTCATGAAGATTCTACGGTTTGGTTTGTAATCTATAAGCTCAAAATCATCAGCGGTGAAACTGTCAATGTCACGTTTTGAAGACTTTATTTTCAAAACCTGCAAAGGTGAGTACTTTTATTTAGAAAAAGATTCAGGAAAAGAGGCTTAACCGACGACCTATCATCATCAAACAGTCCCTCCGGTAAATCCAGCTTCAATTTAACCATGAACAATATTTTTTTCCTCAAAAAACTAGATCGAGTGGAAATACACAAGTACTGCATGAAACAATTTCAAGCACTTACAGGAAATGGTTTTGGGTCATTTTTCAGCTGTTCTTTGAGTGGCTCCAAATGGTTTGTGTACACATGGGCATCACCAAGAACATGAACGAAGTCACCAGGGACCAGATCTGTAACATGTAAAGTGACTCAGTATACATAGATTATCCACCAAGGAGGCCACTTCTTGCATCATTACTAGTTTGTTTCCTGGGATACAACAGAAATACACGATACACTACTGCAAGACGAAGTCAGGAGAAAAATGCGAAACCAAAATCTCAACTAAGACTTGCATCTAAATATTGTGTACTGATTGCACTTGCTGTTTGACTCAGATTGTATCACATGCATATTCTGCTTTTACAAAAAAAGATGTGGAATGAAAATTACCACAAACGTGAGCAATCATGTAGGTGAGGAGGGAGTAGGAGGCTATGTTGTAGGGTACTCCTAATCCCATATCACATGAGCGTTGGTACATTTGACATGATAGCTCTCCGTTGGCCACGTAAAACTGGAGCATCAATCACCGGTAAGCATTAAAATGGACGCCAGACCAAAGCACCTTCTCTCACCACCAAATCTTCTCTCCAAGTAGTAAATGTTCGACCAAAGTCTACTATACATGAATACAGAGCGTACAAGGTTTGCAAATTTTTGCAGCTCGAAAGGATGATTCTCATAAGCTACAGAAGTCCTCGCTGCTCGTTAGACAAGATCCTTGGACAGAAAGGTCTGTGTAATGGAATGAGCACTAAACGTGATAAAAGGGATTGCTAAGCTACGACTTATACGCCGCAACCTTTACAAGTTTCAAGTTCAGAGGGTTGACTCCAACCTGAGCAAACATATGGCATGGTGGAAGGGCCATCAACTGCAAATCTGCAGGATTCCAAGCAGATAGTATAATCCGACGATCATTTGGATTTGTCCGTATTTTGTGAATCACGTCTGCTAACTGGTCAAAACCTTGGCCAGTGTAATCTGCGTGCATATCCGTGTACCTGAGGCGGACAACACAGGACATAATTAGCAACAGCAAGCGAAGCTGGAAGGAAGCTGGAATTGTGCCGTCATAACTTAAAACCATACCTTCAACTTCGATATAGTTTAAGCATGTTCTAATGTAATGAAACAGAGAACTTCATGGTTGTCAAGATATCACATACTTCGCACCGAAATGTCTCCATTGAAAGCCGTAAACAGGACCCAGATCGCCTTCTTCCCTTTCTGTAAGTCCAATGCTGAAAGAATGTGGACGGAAGCCTTTCAGCACTCAGTTCACACAAAGAAAACCATTTCAAACTAATTCGTCCTTGTAGGGACAGGCCGTTGGCCAGAAGTGTACTTTCACAAAGACCACTAGTGCTTGTAGACACCAAAGAAATCTATCTGGAAGGAGAACCAGAAGCATCAACGAAGAGATTGAAACTGCTGAAGTGCGGCGGGTGACAAACTTACAACCCTGCTCAAGGGAATAAACGCACCTGCTGAGATACTCTTTTGTTGAGTTTCCATCCCAAATGTGCACGTCTTTATCCTGGAGAACCTACCCACATGATGATTATATAGGAAAAGCATCAGATTTCCAGCAACTGCTTTTATCGTATCAAACGTCAATATGTCCGAGTAAGCAGTTGTAGCAAACAGTTGTAGTACCTTCGCACTGGTGGACCCACTGATGAACCACAAAAGCTCTTCCACAACACCTCGCCAATGTACACGCTGCAAGGTAAGCAGAATCAATCTCGGCTGTTCTGGCCTAAACTCAAAGAAGATTGACGTCACCAAACTATGAAAAACGTACGGAATTTATTCACAGTCTAACCTTCCAGTATATCAGAATCAGATCAAATCAGAATTTCTTAAAGAGTGAACGCGTGGTGCAGTAATTTTTGACAAATGTTGATTTACTTCATCCTACTTACCTTGGTTGTGAGGAGGGGAAAGCACTTCCGCAAATTAAAACGCATCTGCATTCAACGACCTACGTCAGACAACCGAATGAGGTCCACACTGATAAGCGAAAAGTATAGATCACCTAAACACGCTTATATCTCTATAAAAACGTAAAACCAGAGACCAGATATGCGCGAAAACTACTGGTCCAGAGAGTTGAGGTGAACGGGATTCAAGCAACATAAGACCGGGACCTTGTAGAGCTTAAATGAAGACCACTTCCATTTCGGTAGGAAGGTAATATGCTGTATTTAAGTGGCCTGGTCTACTTAGAAGATATTCTAAAACTTTGAGCTTCAAATTTCTATCAACAAGCTAATGAAAGAGCTAGACCAGAATGCATGTGCTCCCGGTACAAAAACCATCTACTAGTTGATCAGCCAAGGGCACTTCACCTGGCAACCAAACTTGGAAATAGTACCGGTGCCGGTGCGGTCTCCTTTTACGGTGCCATTCTGAATTATATCCTTGATGAGGTCCAAGTACTGATACTCCTCGTGTCTGTGTGCAAGTGAGGGTGGAAGTAATGATACAAAGTCTTTTATCCTCTCATCGGCCTTGCTTGCAACCCCAGTTTCTTGCTTTGCTCCACTCGTAGCCACATTAACGTTCTGCTGAACGTCCACTTTTGTCAGACTGCCTCCTCTTCGTACATAAGTCACAAAACTATATCGCAGGTTATTCTCCACTATCGGTGCCGAGGCGTACCATGGTGTAAAAATGCTTCTGTCGACAGGAGGACTGAAGGTATCGCACTCGACTTCCGCATCGACTTCCGTCAGATGGATAGCATCACAGAGTGAAGCTGACATGGTCTCTCTGCAGCACAGCACTCTCACTTCTATTAACCCTGGTTACGGACTGAGATTTACGAGCACAACTTGTACAACGTCAGGATATTGGCTGTAACATCCAGCGAAGTACTAACTAAAAACGAGACTAAGAGCAACCTCGAGGCAAGTTTCTGCCACCACCGCACAGGAGAATACCAGTGCACGGAGTGTATGCTATCCCTGAGCGTACATCCCCTTGCTAACGCACCTGAGAATTTGACCTCCACCGATTATAAACACCGTCTCAATCTCGGAAGCATACTGTGGAGTCGCAAGCAGAGTGAGAGCACTGTGCACGCTTTCACAAACCACCGTTGAGCCGCTGTCGTCATCTACCTGCTTCGAAGTCCGACTCAGAACCACGTTAAATCGGCGCTTGAGGGGACGATATTTTTTGGGAAGGGCGTCCCATGACTTTCGACCCATGACCACTGCATTCCTCTTCGATGAAGAACGAGTTTCGGTTGTCACTTTGGTGAAGTGCTTCAAATCCAAGGGGAGGTGCCACGGCAAATCGCCATTGACTCCGAGTCCCCAATTTCGAGATACAGCCAACACAATCTGGAAACTCCTCGTGGGAGCTTCTACGGTTTCCATTGCTTGGTCTTCCTCACTTTTGTTGGCAAAGTAAGCAATTCCTGTAGTTGATTGGGCTTTCCAAGGGTGCCTGGATTTTAAAAATAGATTACTCCAAGTCCTGCTACAGGCAACGCCACCGGACCATAACGGAAGGGAATCCACAACGCTGGATCGACAGGCTACAGCCTCAGAAAAAAGACACGACGAAGAAGACAAGAGTAATTGAATTCGGGCCGCGGTCCTATCCGTCGAAAATGTTCGACTCTTGCTCTCAACTGCTGTACCAGTTCTCCACCTCCTTGCTTGCACACGCACACAGGCACGAGCTTGCTGCATACAGCGAATCATAATTTGAAGAGGAACAACATTCAGCAAGTACTCAAGTTGTCTTGGAAAAAAGAAATCCACAGCCAAGATAGTAAATTCAAATTCACTCAGGTATTCAAACTCTCCAGCTGAAGAGGCTTTCGTATCACCCCTCCGGAAAAAGTCCGCTCTTGCCGGAATGCCTGGAAAGATTATCAGCTTCAATCCGCTAACAGCAGCAATGAAAGGACGAGTCTACAGTGGAGTCGACGGCTGAGGAACAAAACCAAGGAGGGTCTTGCTTTTGGAAAATCTCTCTACGTCATAAAGTAGCAGAGAGCTTGTTCCTAGACTAGAGAGCGGAGTAATTCCAGAAAGAAACTGTGGAGAAGAGCTGGATGAACAAGTCGTCACCGTTGAGTCGAATTTCAAGCAGGAAATTCAAACCGCAAAGCAGACACGAGTAAACAATTCTCATGAAAATGTTGGAAACAAAAATGATATGGAGAACCAGTGGGCAAGTTTGCCACAAGTTCGTTCGTGAGCTGGATACAAAGGTGCATGGAGCATTGCTGAAAAAATTGCAACACACCTGGCGAATCAAATAAAATCGGAGAAGGAAGCATACCGTGGCGGTTTTGCTCTAGAGCATAACACCACATTGGTGCCTAAATCTTGAGATACGTCATAAAGCGTGTCAACGGATTTGAAGAATTCAAGAACTTCCAGAATCTGCCTGATTTAAGTCTGATTATTAGCTTTTGAGAAAAAACACAAGGCTCGGCTTGCTTGCTTACACAATCTCGACGAATTTGTAGAGAGCGGATCCGCGCAACGCTTGACCCACCCACTCGGACACATTCAACGCATCTCGACAAATTCAGCATCAAGAGATAACAACTATCCAATCCAGCTCCAACCAAATGCACCAGAGGCCTGCAGCCGACACTGGCTGCAATCATTTGCAGAAAAGCAAGCGATCGGATCACCACCGACCCATGTTCTCCTCGAGTCCCAATGCCTCGTGGCTCCAGGTACTGTATTGTCACCGCGGGCCTGAAAGCTCGTCCCTGTGCGGGCCTTGAACTGGCCAAACGAAATGGCGGGAAATGCTGTCAAACGTCTCTGGCGTCTGTAAAAACCAATATTACTTCTGTCTGGTAAGACTTTCCTGATTTCGACTTTCATTTCCATGGACATAGATCCTCGAGCTCTACCGAGGTCAACTTTTCCCGTCGTCAGCACGAAAAAGTGCACGAGCCTGTAAGTGAGTAACGTGGTGCAATCACGGAACGTGGTATCTCGCAACAACGTGCAATCTGAAGCATCCAACGTGCTTTTTCATATTTTCATGATTGGGCATGAGGTTCTCGTGTTTTTTGCATCGGGATTGGATGGCGATGTTTATGGATTGTGAGAATGTTTTTAGTACAGTTTCACATTTTTTTAGACATTTGCAACATTATTAGGTAATGATGCCTGTGGAATCTGAAAATTTTTATTTAAACATTTTTTCACGTTTAGACATCTTTAGATGCTTAGGAGTGCCGCTAACCTAGAAAATCAGTTACCACTTTAGTAACATACACCATACTTTTTATAGAGCTTACATTTCTTCTTATTATCAAAATCAGCACAAAGGAAAAAAAAATGTGTATTAGAGTCAACAACTTGCTCACGCAAGGTAAATCCTTCAGATGATCCCATCTTTAATAGCACACTACGGTGCTATCCAAGAGAACAACATGACAACATCACGTTATTAATTTCAACCTGTTTGATAGAATTCACTCACATTCATCATCATAGCATCGGGCTATGAGGTCTCTCATATACTATCATCAAAGCGTACCGATAACGTTTTCCCATCTTCAACAATTGACAAACATATTCTCTGATCTCCCAATGGGCATGCTTTTATCACCTTGTAATCCAAATGGTTCTTAGTATCAAGGTATCAAAAGTACTAGAGCTGATATCCACCTTACTCCTCATTTTCAGGTTCTGCATTTGTGTCTAATTATTCTATATGAACTTAGTACTTTAAGAGCGAGAATGGGTGCTGGAGATTGCGTGTCATACTATCTATCTCATAGTATTTTGCATGTGGACTGACTATCACACTTGGGAGATGGCCAAGAGGCATGGGGCATAACATCGACATTTGCACAACTTTATCCATCAAATCTCACATGTATGTATGTCATCAACATTATTAATTCGGAATTCATGACAAAGATTGCGAATAAATCGACTATCCAAAAACTTCACTGGTATGATAGTCAGACGTCTCAAAGATTAAAAAGTTGGTGTTGCTTGTTGCTTTCCACAGTAGGCGAAATCAAATTGACAAGACCAGGATCTAAAGCTTGGAGCAACACCACTAGTAGATGATGGAGCGTGTCACAATCTTCAATGTTCTTGACATCTCGTCATTCATCTCGTTTCACTCCGTCTCTTGATGCTGTACTCATTCTTGATTGCGTCTGTACAATGCAAAACCTTACAGTGTCTTTTGATACACTGTACAAATTGTCATGTGACAGTTGTTACGAGTGGCACCTATTTCATCTGTAATTTCTTCGGAAATTTCTGGTCAAAAAAAGATCAGTTCCATTTTCTTGAACTGACAAGATTTTTGAAGGCGTGAAGTGAAAGCAAGAATCGTATGGTGCCATCAAATCAAAATCAAGCGACTCAAAACCTATTGATCATATTTCTCATTAGGATCTGACATGCATGTTTTCAAAAGTCTTACAATTACATGTTGTTAAAAATTGTCATAGTTTTCATCCTATCTCAAGAAAAAAAAGCTTACACATCAATTTCACAAAATCTATTTAAACTAGGCTATTCAGAATTTATTTATTTTTATTTTAAAATTTTAATTAACATATTAAATTAATATTTATTAGATCATAATATGAATGTATAATATGTAAAAAAATCAAAAAAATGAATTTGATATAATAAAATATGGTTTTTCTCTAGTTACTTCCACTAAAATGTGAGATTTTATCGACAAGATATAAAAATCTACTCTTGTCTTCAGTGTGTACATTAATTTGTAATCAATCAAAGTTTGATTTCTGGGAAGTTTCATGGGTTTTCATCTCTTGTTATCAATCAACGACTACATTCACAATAGTCATATTTCACTCAAGTTTATTGACAGAAGCTTAAGCTTTTGCTTAAGCTTAAACTATCACAATCTTCAAAAATGTATGAATCTGTACATACTTCATATTCTAATAAATGATTATAGTTTATTTCTATTATCTGGTGCAGATACCTTACACTCAATGACATGTTTGATGAAGTTTTTGAACAAGATTTTCACACGTAATATGTACATACTCAAGTTACTCCTTGCAACTATAAATTTAAACTCCAAGAAACTTGCTTGTGATGATTGTATATACCAAATGTTCACAAGATTTTAAGTCAAATTTACTATTATTTGGTAACAAGCTCTCAATATCAAGAGTGTCAAGTATCTATTAGGCACATGTTTTATTTCAAATGTCATACATAAAACATATAGATTTAAGATCTAGTAAAATTGATTTCATCACATATTGTTTTGTTATCTAGCATATATAAATTGTTGTGCATGTGATATCTTAATATCATTTATCACATATCCTCATACCTAGCATTTACTTTATAGATTTCACTCAATGCTTTTTAAAGCTAATGTTTCAAGAAAAATCAAATTTTTTTTCATATCATATATAAATTTGACTTGAATTAATGTACATTGAAGTTCATCAAACATTTTAACCAATATAAATCTAATAAACTATTTCACAAAGTTGATCATTTTTCATAAGAATTGAGCCGTTTGAAAATAAGAAAGTAATTTCTAATGTCATAAATAAGATAAGAACAAACACAATATAGAATTCTTATATCACCAACATCGCTTGATGAATTACATAGGATAAATCTTTAACCTCACCAACATAGCTTGATGAATTACATAGGACAAATCTTTAACATCATAGTACATCATCTAGCAAATCATCTTCTTGAATCACATTGTGTAAAGTAGTATCAAGATTGCATAACCTAAACATGCAATATGACAATACTCATGTACTATTAAGGAAGGTTTTTCTAGTCATCATCGTGGTACGTATACTATTTTGGCCTCAACATCTTGACTAGACACATGATCTTTAGTTTACCCTTGATTTCTCTCTGTTCTAGCAGATAATCACAAATTACATCTTATTTTACTATATCATATCATGCTTATCAGATTTCATGACCTTCATTTACTTCCGCTGAACGCAATAAGATATACTTTGTGAAATTTGAACAAATGATTTTTCTTTTCCACTCATTTATTGCTCTCCTGATCCCTTGATTTAATCGAGATTCTTTCATCATCTCCTTGACTAGCTGCTCATCACCAAATGCGTCTAAACATTGCAAAATGAAAATGGTAAAATATCGTTACGATCAAACTTTGAATTTACACTACATTGCGATAGCACTTGCTTCTCAATCTTAGTCTGATGTCTTCTCGCCTTTCGTCACCTTGCTGCTGCATATCTGCTGTATGTGTCGACCTGTTCACATTCCAAGACACTGTGCCAAATCCTTGCAAATCCTAGCTTAGAAAATAAGAAATCACATTGGAAAAAAATGCATGAACAAGAAGAGAGAAGATTGCAATTTTCTGGCAAAATTTAGACTCTGAAGAGAGAGCTGATGATCTCATCAGCTGTCTTCATGACATAATAATGTAGATTACACTACATGAAAATTTCTTTTCATATTTTTTGTAAGCATCATTGATATTGTATATGTTGCTTATTGTCATAATTCTTTTTACATCACAAGGCTAGAAATGATAATCTATAAATACTTACGTTACATTTGATAAGATTTTCAAACAAAATGGTCGACATACTTTCCTCAGTATTAGTATACTAAACAAATATTTTCCTAGAAGATTTCATGGATGCCAATATAACCAAATAGAATGATGTTTAGAGGTTTCTTGAACAATGTGTTGTCTTTGTCTTTAACTTGTTGATGTGAATGCGTTTATCAATTGTGTAATAAACTAAAAGTATCCCAAAAAAATGAAATTGGACTCAATAATAATATGTCATTTTTGGTATTAAAGATGTTTAGCCTTAAAACTTCATGGTTGTTATGATATCATTACCATGTCCGAGACTTAATACGATTCATCAACTGTTTGACTCCCTATCAATTATTGTGGTATTCCGATACTCACACGTTTTCTCCGTGAATCATTCGCATAATTCAGTGTTCAACCATGATTGTTTAAAGCTTCCAAAAACCTTTTATACAGTTGACATTTATATTCTCTACATAAACTCAACTATTTTCGGTATAGCTTCGGTGTTTTTTTAGAACAGTTCGAATTTCAAGGCAGTGTCTTTTCCCCAATCCCAGACGCGAATTAAAATAAAAATTAGAAGTTCGAGAATTTGTTCCTCTTTCTCTCGTGTGTACCTAGGGAAGGTCTTATCGACCGTACAACTACAGTACGAGATACACGTTTGGGCGGCACAATTTACGTACCCACTCACAAAAACGTTTTGCAGTGGAAGACGGAAACAGCTCAGAAAGAGTTTGGACGACAGACGCCATCCCTGACCGTCGGAACCCTCACAAGATAGTGTCCAATTTGCACACGCCGTTTCGCAGAACACTCTACACTGCACCAAAGCTGACGTCTTAGACGATATAGGAATGACCTTTCCTACTCACTAAAAGTGCTGTTCACCATTGGCGCGTCTTATCTATTTTTTGCTATCTATTTTTATCACGAATTTTTTATTTTTATTTTATCTATCTATCACTAAATAGATGCAAGTCGTCCCTTTTCGGAATGATAACTTAGTTCAAGGTAGAGTAAAAGGACAACGACTGAAACCGAGCGTCAAAGTAGCGTTACAAATGCGAGAGATTTGCTTGATGGACCCCTAGGGTTTAGTTTTACCCCATAGGGCCCCAACGACGGTGTGCCGTCGGACATAATTTTTGTAACTACGATTTCTACTAGTTACAATGTGAGAATTACAATCAGAGATCAATCTCTGATTATAATTTTTGGTGGATTATAACGGAGATAAAGATCGATTTTGCTCGAAGTGCAATTTGTTGTGCTTCAATTCTTCCGATCGTAAAGATTCACAGATTTCTCTGTTGCCTCCCACCTGCACACTCCTTCCGTAACCCTGCGTGGTCCGAGCTCAAGTCTTGCGATCACCGATTTGTGGCGAACAAATTTTCATACGGAGTTTATTTGTTCGCCACAAATGGGTGATCAAATAAACTCCGGATGAACATTTCTTTGCTCGTCTACTTGGAGAGTGGCCGGATACAGAATGACAACATAAAAACAAGTGAGTGTGATGGAGTGCAAAGTCCACTCTCTCTAGTTGTTATTAAAACATGGGTGACGGTGCATCATTCATGGGGTCCCATCGGGTAAAATGAAACCTGAAAGGTCCCATCAAGCAAATTACTTTCCGTAGGGGTCCCATCAAGCAAATCTCTCTTACAAATGCCGATGCAATGGAAGAAACAATATAAAAGTTACGAAGCATTGGGTCAAGATCGTCTTTTATTTAGTAGATTATCGAAAATCAATGTTCTTCTCATCAAGCACAGAAGACACTAATTGTTCCAGGCTTCTGTATAACTGCAGCTTCTTATGTCGGTAAAGAATGATACATAAAACCTATCAGCTGGTGCGTTTTTCATTGATGAAATATTAGATCACAAAATAGTTATCTTTTACAAGCTTTCCAGAAACAACGTTCTTCAAAGGGAAAGCTGCTATATGAAGCATTTCGTTACAGTCCATGGTACATTCTGCAGCGGCACTTTACGAGGTCTTCCCATCTCTGAGAAGATGCAAGTCTCCACCTCTGACAACCACCGTCTTATTGAACGGTTGCAGTGAAAGGTTCACGACAAGCTCCATAACTCCCTGTTGGCAAACAATCGAAAACTAATACAAAATTCAAGATTCAATCTTCTTGTCAAAGAGTTGTGGAGATCTAAAATTCTCTCCCCATATACTCTGTATTGTCCGTCCAACAATTGTGGACTGTAAAGAGTTGGAGTCCCATGCCCCATTCTTCGTATGTACCCAATTTTTTGGGGGTGTCGCTCTTTTCTTCGGCCTTTCTATCTGCAAAGTTGTTCCAGAGAAAATCATGAAACCAAAAGGAGGATTAGGCCGGCATAACACTATACAATCAATATATTGCGACAAATTAACAACACTCTGAAAAAAAGGAGTAAAAAGCGACCTACTCCAAACACTGGAATGGGATCGGCATTCTCAGTGATCAACTGCACTAAGTATTCAGGTTATCAGAAGAAAGAAGACAGTTGAGAAACCTACTCGGCACATTTTCCCGTTTCGAAAATAATAGTCTACACCTGACCAGTTGATATGTTGGGTGATCATAGAAGTGAACGCTGCCCATGGATACATGAAATTGCTACATATTGTTGAGATGAAGACCTGACAAAGAAACCGTCCATCTGAATGTTAGCGAGAAGAGAGTAACGATTTTAAGATTATCATTGAAAGAACTCATAGCTAACCGTGTATCTTAGCAGCAAGCAACAAACTGACCCGCAATTAAATCAAATTCAGTCAAGTTCCATCTTCTAATTCTCTTATTTGGTCTTTTCCCCTGGCCAGGGCTATATATTATGGCTATCCTGAACTTTCCCCCACCCCTCACGTCATCTGTCCCCAGTTATTTATCGATCTTTCCGAGGTCGGGCAATAGCTACGTACAAGGAACCAGTCGTACGGTTCGATTGATACTTTCGGACTCTCAGGAGATAGGGCATTGCATAAGTCAATCTCCACTCGGGATAGGCGCTTCATTGACAACACTTCAATAAGCGAAGATGTAATTGTGCAACCTACAACTACAAGACCTGCATGTCAAACAAATAAATGGAAACGAATAGGTGAGATCATATAAGAAAAGCCCTTAGATCTGACTGTGATTTGACTTTTACAACTCGGTCTGAGCTGGACAGAAACCTAGCTGGCAATACATGTAAATAATCATTCCTCCTGATATTAGGAGTCGGCCAAATGAGCCTTGTAACAGAAGCAACTCTTCCAAGAAAGGATAGAACCTCTTCATCAAAACATTCCAAATAGACAAGACTCCTTTTCCAGACTGCAAAATTCCGGCAAGATACTTAAACTTAACGGACCATTGAGAACAAAACGACATCCCTTCTTGAAACGAGGAACAATGAGCTTTCAGCTCACTTTCAGTGATCCATGCTCTGGATGAAAAGAAACGTGTGACTACCAAATGCTGTAACAAATGAAAGTTTGAAAGCATAGAGGAGTATCAATATGCTGAAAGAATGACTGAATGAGCTTCAGCCTTTTCCTGATCGTAAATTTCATCTATGGACGCCATGTTTCAAATACAAGTATTTGTTGCTATATATGGTGCTGTATACACTGACCGTAATAAAGTGGGAATAACCAGGGACCCCTGAAGTCTCTACTTAACCAGAAACAAAATGAATATATCTTTTCCATTCAGCATCTTTAATCACATTGAAGCCAGACAAAAACAAACTCAAAACTATACTAGAATAGTAAAGAAAATTAAAATCTTACCAGTTTTGATGTCAGGATTAAACTCAGGATTGGATGTACAGTAAAATCGAAGGATAGCCAGCAGGTGTATCAAGCTCGTAAAGTACGGAATGCAGAGTCCCCATGACAACCAACAGTGCGAGTAAAACAGAGCGCGATTCATCAGATAATTCACAGTTGTGATGTGCGTCTCCAAAACGATACTTTGTTTTCGCAAATAATTCCAATACCTGCAGATAATGAAGAATGTCAACTTCCAAATAACTGGGTTTACTAATACGAAAAACTATTGAGTAGGTCAATGCGTATTTGTGGTTTTTCGGCCTTTAAAAGAAGACAAATGTAAAGAGGACTGAAATTCCACATGAGGCGATGTATTTCTCCTGTTGTGATCATCAGCAGAATGCACAAGTATCTCTACTTCAAATTCCTGGATATTCAAACACAAGAACAGAACGAACTCAGTGAGTGAATTTGCTCCTTACTGCTTGAAGTTGACCCTTCCGAGAGGATGGAAGAAGACGGTGGTCGGAGGGGAGCTTATAATTCGCTTATTAGCAGCTGACACATAACAAAACCTCTTCAGCTGCAGTACATACACATAAATAGATAATTCGAACCGAGAACAACTAAACATTTTCCCATGGTAGAATAGCTGTTCCTGAGCTTTCCTTAAAAAGCCACAATCGTTGCCACAGATTAATCAGCTGTACTGCAAAGAAGCAAAGTCTCTGGTCTCATCAAAGCTCATGAACTTACTTCAGGAACCATGACCTTGAATCCCTCCTCCAAATAAATATCTATGTGTGGTGGGCTTCAAGTCCGAAAAAGTGACTTGACACAAGGAACACAGAATGCTGACACCTTGTGAGCCAGAACAAAGGAAGGACTATAAAATTGACCAATGAGGAATTTTACCTGCTACAGCTGCAAGAGTCATATCGTCAGAATATCCACCATATCGCAAGCCTGAGACCAGTCCGTAGCGATTGCTTCTGAAGTCTTCTGCATGCATCTGATCATAAAAAATCTCATGAACTTGCAGACGAACAAATATAAGAAACAAATGTTCACTTCACCTCGTGGATCAGCTTATCTTGGAAATCTAGCCGTTACTGGAAAAAGATTATTCCAGCTGAACACTGGAACTTCGACAGACAGCAATTAGATCGGGAGAACAAATTACCATCATGAATCCACCCCACAAGAAAAAAGTTCGACCACCAGTCAGACCAAATCCAATAGAGCATGGCTGTACGAGCAACGTTGAGACATATGTCAGTGCGGATATTTGAAAAGAGTTTCATGGTAAGAACGTGCACGTAAAAGAATTCAAAACAGAGAACAATAAATTTGAGTCTATTTCTCAAAAAAATTTGCGAATATCATGAGGATGCAGTAGACAGTACAGTACCATGTGATATTCGTAAATGCAGTACGCCTTCAGACATCTTTGTGTTGGTATATCAAAAGGGAAGCCCGTAAGCACAAAGATCTGTAACCAAAACACTAATGTTCAGCGACTTCACGTTCAGAGTACTATGGCACACAGGATGACAGTTCACGAAGTTTTGATGGAGGTAAATACCTTGGGATTCACCTCCATATCGCGGACTACAGAACCTATCGTACCAGGATGGATTCGAACATCATCGTCGAGAAAGAGAACATACTTAGTATCCTTGTGCATAGCTTCTACACCGGCCTGTAAAAAGACAACGAGGATTGAAATTTCACAAGATGTTGCAATGAGTTATTTTTTCAGACTAATAGACAAAGAAAAGGAAAATGACTGTAGCCAAAGCTAAAAAACCAAGCGAAGTACAACTCAGGAATGGTAAAGTTAAGACCAGTAATGTCATTCCTCTCTGTTGATCAGAAGGGGAAAGAGACCATAATGAAAATTGAAATTTGTTGGGCTCATCGTCGCATACGTGGATGAAAAACACGAAAACTTCCAATTTCAGTCCATATTCCAAGAGAAGCAACATACCAGCTGATTATGAACTTTTTGACTGCACGTGGTTGAAAGGCCAGCCACGATAACCCTCCCTTGAACTTGATCCTGCATCAGCAAACTTCATTACCAGTCTGCTCCCAGAAGAGCGATGATCTTACATCGACAGGGAAGGACTTGAAAAGGACAAACTTCATGTGCCACACGACCCTGATCATAAAACTTGCTCAGCTGTTGTGTTGCTTACCCCCAGCTCCCGCAAAAGCTGTGAAACTGCATTGTATGCTGGATCCTCTACGCTCTCGACGACAAATAGGAACTCAACTTCACCGCCGTAAAGAGACGTAACCTGCATGTGAAGGATCGATTATCAGGAGCTGTTCCTGTTTCAAGTGTAGCTACTCAAAGTGGCCAAGGTGTGTATACGTGTATTTACATACAGCATTATTTCGTAACCAACTTTTCCAATATATAAGTCGGAAGAACTTCTTAGACGAACGTGCGATAAACGAAGCCTGCTGAACACGGGCTCTTGACCATGCAAAGGGACTCTTTTGGACACACTGATTCGAGCACTTTCGAGCTGCTTTTTTTGTTATGTGAGGCACTATGGACTGTCACAGTTGGAAACTTTGACAGAGAGAAATAATGCCAACCTGAGTCCTCCAGTTGCCAAGATTGAATTCACCAACGCCTTTCAGGGGCATGACGACGGCAACACGAGGTAACCTCTCTTGGGCGGAAGTTTCCAAAGCACCAATATCATGGTAGAGAAATCCAAATGGATTGCCAGCTGCCTCATCATCCCGTATCTTTTGAAGTTCCTTCCTCCTTAAAGGTCCAGGAAATATAAAACAAGGGCAAGCGAGTGAGTGAAGTACTATAACTATGGACTGTTCTTCGGGCCTCAATCTTATCGAACTTACACTTTCAAAGATGCCCACAACAAACTATCATTACACCCCTATAACATCCCTCGCCAGGACATGTCTAGAATTCAAATCTCTTCCGCTTGCCTCACCTGGTCTTGGCAGCCCCCAGGTAGCCAGCGCCTATGGCCGCCTGGATGACACAGCCCTGCCGAAACACAACTTCTCGTCAGCTGTCACAGTTCGCTCGGTGAAATTGAAAGGGATGCGTACTGTGCTTCCGCCCTGCAGGACAGAACTGGATCCTGACGAAAGCCTAGAAGCATTTCCCCATGGACAAAGTAGCACGGACTGCGCCATCTAATTCTCTTGGATGTCTCCAATGACCAACGTCACATATCACAGTAAACATAAGGTCGCTTGTTGGTGCAATTACGTCCTTCTCTTTATTCTACTCGCAGCTACGGATTCCGTATGTCGCCCCAAGTAGAGATCGACAATTAAGATCCCAAACCTCGAAGTTAGAGCAGGTTGTGAATGTAGTCTGTACCTGTATGGAGAAACCGAAGGCGGTTGAATGGCAGCAGAAGGCACTTGCCCACGCCAACCACATGTCAACGTAATTCCACCACATTTCGGCTGAGTAGCTGGGCAGGCGGGAGGGTGCTGCAGTATCATACAAACTACACCTCAGACTATCCGCATTTCTCCACAACAAATCTCCGGGTCAAGATCTCGGCATTCACGATCAACTCCGTTCCTGCTCGAACGTCTCTCAGCTCACTCGGCCCCGCGGTCTACGAATCCCCCTCGTCGACCATTCTCAAGTACGGACGCCACCTGCATTCTTCAGCTCCTTCGAACCGACGAGATCTTTCCTCATGTTGTTTGCACTTCGAATATGGAAATGTTCGAATTTCGGTCCACAGAACTCGAAAAATATCTGATTTCTGATTCTTTCCTCTGTCGGCCAGGACAAAGGGATCCTCTCCTTCCCTACTCTAATCGTACAGAGAACAGGAGAGGAGAGGTCGTCGGAAGGTACGAATGACAGAATGAGTGTTGCAGCACCTGCAGATGCAGAAGTGGTCAAACCACAACACCGTTCACAGACCACTCCTTCCTGCGGCAGAAGAGACGGCAACGGAGCATTTATATGCTTGTCAGCAGGAGAGTGGAGACGTCAAGACCGCAAGGAGTGGCGACTAATAAGATCCAAATCAACCCAGTAGGCCTAGCCCAGCCCACCCCAGCCTAGCCAATGCAGGAGGGCAGGCAGGCAGGCAGCTTTCGATTTCGATCTCCCTGCGTGTGTGCAATCAATGGTCAACCGATTATACCTCATTCAAGTGCTGCTGCTGAAGGCCCCATAGCAGATCCGTTTTTAACCACAGAAGAGGACGGTGTCTCTCCTCTCTCTGGGAAAGATGTCTCTAGCCTTTCACAGTACAGTTGCTTCTTCCCCCACTACCTTCTGCCCGTTAAAACAACGAATCGCGTCGCTTGTCGCGATTGTTTATGTTATGCGTCTCATTGGCCTTCTGTTCTCCAATCATGATCCTAACTTTTGTTACCTTCACTTTCAACATCCAGATCTTTCGGATTACGAGTCTCGACCTTGCGGCTGGAACCACCTAAAACCAATGACAAAATGAATTTCTTTCAACAAAAAAATTCATGTGGGTGCATTAGATCGAATTTGATAATGAAAACGAGAGAATGACAGTATATTGAGCAGGCAAAGCCCCTGAGTGTAGAGAAGAGCATATAGGGTGGAAAATAATAACCAAATCTCGGACCCTCAGTTGCAGCGAAGAATATACCAGATTCAAAATACATTGTACAACGACATCAACGTTTTGGATTAAGCCAATGATCACAACTGGGAATAGAGGAAAGCATGAGCATGATTGATGTGTGCCTCGAAGTTGACTAGCATGCAGGTGTGTGCGTCAGTGCCAAGTGATCGCAATCGAAGACATATCATGGTAGATCCATGTTTGTCAATAGTCTACCTCTTCATCATCAATCACTTGAAGCCAAGTGTGCTTCAATCCATCTTCACTTAATGACATGATCTAGTGGTACTTTCTTTACTGCAAGACTTTTTCTAAAAGATGCTCGGAGTTGCTTTCTTGGACGATCATCTTGTATTGTATAATTGAAAGAAGAATTAAAAGATAGCCATCGGTGAACGACCATTTAGTCGGCCTCCTTCGAAATTCTGCGATCCCTGATCATCCTGATATCGAAACTTGGAACCAGTTATGAAAAACTTCAAAGGCCAAAAGACTTATTAATTTGGAGTTAGGCACATTAGCGTGAGAAAGTATTCTTGTTTATTGCACAAGGGTTAGCCTGATGATGACGACGGCTTCGGTTTGTGTAGTCTCATTGCTGCATTCACGATATGCGCTGCATATGATATTAGTACAAATATAGGCTCCCTGGACGCCTCTTCATACGCTGTTATATTATGATTGACCAAAGACGCGCGAGAATTCACAAAAGGATGGCAAGACCCCAACAAGCTCATCTAGTATGCTTTAATATTTCCATACATACTCCGTCTACTCCCTATCCGCAAGGGCTTCACAGGCGACGACTGGCAAACCCAGAGAATTCGCATCCAGAGCGGGTGTAGGGTACTTTTCTTCGTTGTTCCTGCATACAGCCGAGGTTCCCTTGGATAGCTGACATCGTTCCCGATTCCTCACGCGAATTGCGACCACGAGACACCAGGCCACGAAGATTGAGAAGGAGAGAACGGAATTAGAATGCGGCGTTACGGATTCAAGAAGCGCGCATTATTACCGTGTAGGACCACCTCCTCTGAAAAGTTCGCGGAACATAAGCGTAGGTAAAAAATCTAAAGGACTACTGCAACGAGGAGCCGGACCGGTGGCCTAGCTAGGATCGGAGTGGTGCTGGTCATTCACAGAGGAACAAGGAATAAACGTGCGAGTCTTGCATTCCGTGTCTCTCTCTGTTTTTTCACCCGAACAAGTGTGCAGCCAAAGAAAGACGAGCTGCTCGCTGGGTTGCTGTTGCCGACATGTCTAGAAGATCTGCTACTTTAGCAAGGCGTGTCATTCGGAGTTCAGACACACAGCAGTGACAGACTTAGCGAGACCGAAAAATTCACATACCGGACATGTTTCACCGCTTTAGCGGCTCTGACAACGACTAACTTAGTTGAGTCTCGCTTCCCTCCCGCCTTTCCCCGCCACTAAATTACACCGATGGATCTGACACTCTCGCACATCACGGTCGTCGATGTAGCATCGCGCGTGTCCAACTTCTCAAGGTCAAGATGGACTGGGTCTACCAGAGTCCTACTCAGGAACTTTGTCGACGTAGTACTGTACGTGGTATGGACTGGACAGTAGACAGCCGTTCAACCAAGCCTAGCAGGTATAGCGTAGACCCGCTGCGCGCGGATTCTTAAAGGATTGATATGTCCGATCCGGTGGCCGCATGGCGCACATAACCACAACACAGAATGAATCGGCGCGGAAATTCTTGCCACCGTGGAAGGTTCGAAACTTGCATCCTTGCCTGATGACGATATCAACACTGTATGGACACGAAACTATGGCACATAGAACAATTCGGGGCAACTAAATAGCAAAAAGGGCGAGAAGGGTGACGTCCGATTGGAGAATATAGGACCAACCATCGATTAGAGAAGAAAGTCAAGTAGTAAAGCAGAAAGTATGGGAATAATCATTCAAACTGGATATTTTATAAGTATATACTGTATACTACATATATAAAGTTATAAGATAAGCTTCAGCTTATCTTATAACTTTATAAATAAAAACTCTATTATAATATGCAAAATATCCAAGCTATTTAGAATTTGTGGTTAAAAAAAATCTTCATTAGTGTAATTCATATTTTATCAAAATTACATCCTGGTCCAGTATTGTAGAATAAGGTGAACACATTGCCTAATTATTTCATACATTAATGACATATCATACCATAATTAAGATTTTAATGTAACTTTGAGATATCTTAATTTTGAGTGATAGATTAAAGTCTAGTCTCTCACAAAATTTTTAAAGTTTACATAAATATACCCAACTTTAGGCTAGAGGAACAAAGAGTAAATCTTGATGTCTAACTCAATAGTTGAAAACCCTGTCATATGTCATTCCACTCCTCACTCATCTATGAAGATCAGTAAAGCATCTACTAAGATTTTACTATAGTCTGTGACAATTATTGTGGTATCCTTTACCAATAATAATATAAAAACCTTATTCAAATTGAATGCCAGCCATACCAACAATACCTCTTTGTCAAATTTCCACCATCAAATTGATTATATTATCAGGCTATGCAGTTTGATATGACTAGTCATATATCCACCCTTGCTCAGAATGGCTATGCTTTTCTTTTGAAATGGTTATATTTTGTGGACATTTACTACATATATGGTAGTGGCACAGTGGAGTGTGAGTGAAGAAATCAAGGATCAAGGGAAGTCAAAATCTTATAGATATTTTTAAAAAAAAAACTAGTCTGCATTGGAAATCATTTGATAGAGCTAAGAGTCAATAACTTTACATTTGGACAAAGCAAGAACTTCAAAATATCTTAGAAGAACAAGGAATAAACTAATCCACTACCATTGAACAAAGAGACTTATTGAACTAGAAATTCTTCTTAGAAGATAGATTGTGAAGTTTCTCTACCAATCTATCTATTAATAACATAGTATCTATATATTTCGATATGTGGTATTGTAGTAAAAAAACATTAGTTCATGTGCTATGTACAAGTTGAAGAGTCTCTCATACATTGTAAAAGTGTTTGAAAAGTTCTCATTAAAATAAAAAATAAACTGAAATATACTTGATGTAGTCTAATGACTTAAAAATCAAGCTAGATTCCCAACATGTGTAATTGCTTTCAACATTTTTGAAATATCAATGTCAATTGTTATACGTCTTAGAGAACAAACACCACATAACATGATAATATGCATCAACTTGTGCACTAAACATATATACAATTGACATGCTGAAGAAAAAAATTGGATGGAAAAGAACTTGTTTCATGTATGAACATGAAAATAAACACTAAATCAACTAATTAATCCAAAGTGTTTGAGATAAATACCAAATTGAGAAACTGAGCAAACTGTCTACACAATCCACAAAGTATAACCATGTGTTGACCCATTTAACCGTACATGGATGAATCCAAGGCGGGTAAGATGGGAGCAGCCCGGAGAGCATGCTCTACATGCTATACGCTAGGTGAATCGTCGAATTGAATCATCTCGTGAAAGGAGTCATGCTTTCGTATTGTAGTGTTTTCAGGAACTGAATTGCTGCACTGGAGTTTCGGAAAAGGTTTCGGAAAACTTGGGAAGATTGCAATTATTACCCACATTGCAAGCATTGCAAATCATGTAAGGTTGCATCATGTCAGCGTCCTAATGTCAATGTGCGACATGCCCCAACATGATGAGACATCGGTGATGCAGATTCATTTGCGACACTGTATTATTACATGAGATTATGTCACTATCGAGCTCATCTTACTAACAAACTACTCGCATGAAGAATGCAGGGACTCCAGTGAAACGTGACCGCTTTGTCCCTTTTGTTTCTCTCGTGTATCGCTTGGGACTTCCTTATGGCCCTTCTCATACTGAGTACACTTAGCATTTAGCGTTTGTAGTCTCCATACATTTGACAAGGCGAGACTACCAGTTCTGATGTACGTCTACTTCATCAACCAGCCAACGTTGCCTAATCTGATCTAGTTCCGATTTGTGTGATAGACCTGACTGTTCTTGTTTTGTAAAACTTAATTCATTTTCACTGTAAATCAAGACAAGTGGTGATGTATGATGTAATTCAGACATGTTCAATCACACGAAATGCAGTAGATAGTATGGATGCAAATTTTAGTAAACATATATATTATAAATACCGTATTGGTTGTAACAAATACGAGTATGACAAAACTTGGAAGGTCAGAAGGACCTTCTAGTGCCTTGACATCAGGACGTTTTCTTCTATTCCGCGGCTTCTGATCTTGAGCTGTTGAGGCCTTGCCTTCCCTTCTACTCTGTTCCATGTGCGTTCTCCGCACTCAAAGGAGCCATGCCTCCCAATGAACACATTCGGACAAGCGTAGAAGCCATTTGGCTCGTCGATGATTTCGCAAGCTCGTGACAACAGTCATCAGGTCACTGGACTGTTGCACAGGTTCTAGACGTTTCGTAAATTAAATATCTCTACGAATAGTCTAAGCATATATTCTTTCTGTTTATTAATTTTCGAGTTCATTATGCAATGTTTTTTGTTTCGTCTATCTTTCATGCCTGGTTCTCCGAGATGGTACGTTTCCGTGTATGCTTCAACAGTACACTGTTGTTTTCAGATTCTTCGGCTCCTTGCGAGTCGGACGGAAGAGTGGAACCCGCACGATGGAGAGGAGACTTCATACGGTTACATGACTGATTTCAGTATGGACCTTCGAGCTCCCAAACTCTAGCCTGTAGAGCAAATATAACTCCAAAGTCAGAATGCTTTTCAGACCGTGGATTTGGACTTCTTATCAAACTCTCACTTCGTACATTTGTCGCATATGTGCTCTGTACATTGTCATGAATGTTTTCATGTCTACATTGGAGCTTCTGCTGTTCAGTATCCCATTTAGATGAGGTCTATCTCTTTACGTGATCAGCCTCAATATTATTCTGACACCCTAAATTAAATATTGGAAGGAAGGAGGAGATTGCTTGTTTCGACCAAGCTATTGAATCTCACCTACTAATGATTCCACTAATATCATACTACTCCATTTGTCCTAGGTGCGTACTAGAGTAATTCGAATATCAGGCGCTCCTGATGGTGTTCGGATATTCCCGCTCCCATGCTAGTTGTTTTTACTGTAATGGAGCTAAGAAAAAGGTTAGACGAGGGTGTTAGATCCCGACGTAACAAAATATATCATATTGACTGTCATAGATCCGGATCTACTGAAGGACAGATTTGTGTTAAAAAACAACTGAATAGATGTGAGATAATTCGTGGAGGTAAATGTCAAGTACATAATCGTCACTGGCCAAGCATAGTGCACATAGAAGCCCTGTCAGATGGTATAGCAAAGAAGAAGGGAAGACCCCATCTAGTAGTACAAGATGAACCCAAACTGATAACACGGAGATAGCCCCACATGGGCCTCAGTTCCAAAGAGTGAGTTTTGGCTTTTGAGGAGCCTATGGGCGAGGCGAGACGTGCATAGGAAAGGACTGAACGCGGTGCATCGAGCACGGCAAGGGAGTAAAAAAATTGTGTTCTTGCAAAACTTTTGCAAGTACAAGTGTACAAAAATTTTGAAAGAAGCAGAAGTGGTGAAATAACAAATTTTCATCTGGAATTACTATAAGCAGATTAGTCATGAATGAATAGAGGTTTCTATACTTTGAAGTTTGTATATCATGACTCATGTTGCCATCAAATGAAATGGATTTTGGGATCAATCTACTTTAAGTGTGGCTGCCTGAAATAATGATACAAAAGTCACTACAATGAATAATGAACAACACTTTCTATAGATGGGACTCGTTATATGATAAAAAATATGAATATTTTTAAATTTAATATTCAAAAATGAAAATTTTTCTTTATTTTTACATATAGTTTTGATAATCTCAAAATAACATTTTACCACATTAAATAAAAATTTGTAAGAAAGTTGATTTGTTAGATCTAGCAATTATACAAATCACAGAGTATTCAATATTATAAACAATTTTGAATAAAACTCATACTTCAGGCAAACATAATGATGTAATAAAATCACCACAACATTACATGATTCACCTCTACATCAACGGAACGATGTAATAAAATCAACACAAAATTATGTGATTTTCAACTTTTATTGTCACAATACAACCTCGTAGACTTCAACTGGATTTTAATTTGTTTAATCTCAAAAGAAATCATCAACACATACATTGAATTTGATCATGTTTATTCATTTCTTCTAATTTTCATGAAACTCATCTTGTTTGTATTGTTTCTTGTGAATTTATTTTTTTAACCTTTTATATATATGAAAAATTCAATGATAATAAATATGATACTAGATTTGTTAAATCACTATCAACACAATCTTGTAAGCACTACCAAGTTTCTTTACTTACAAGTCTATATTTTAAATGCTAATTAGCTTTAAAAGAATCTGTTCAATAAATCTCTGATTTAAGATTAAAATATAATTCTGGATTTAAATATTAAAAAATAAATATATAAATTTGAATTAAAAAATATAAGAAAAGTTTTTTAGATGAAAAGTTGAAAGTATGAAAACCAATTGATGCTATTATTCAAGTTGATATTGTGGTTGTTGACATGATTTATGTAAATTGATGAGGTGCATTCTTATATTATGGTTGCTGACATGATAAAGTGCATCTTGATGTTGTGTTATTCAAAAAATTGCAGGAATTTTTTTTCCCGTTTTACCTTTGTAGTTTTTTGTGCCCAACATGATTATTTTTTCTTTCTCTTCATCAAAATAAAAAAACAAAACAAAAATGTTGGCTAGAATGTGAAATAAGTAACAATTTGCTAGATATGCTGTTGAAACAAAAACAGTCATGAAAGAATATAAACAAGAATCTTGAAGAAAATCTAACTGCTCAAGATATGGAAATAAAGCACAATTCTGCTATAATTTTTATGAAAACAAAAATAATCATAGCCCAATATGCCCAAATTTTGAAGAAACAACTCACATATAAGCATTATTAAACATTAAAATTTTAAGCTACAGAAACAAAATCAAATCTCAACTTGAAAAGCACAGTCTAAACAAGTGAAACAAAAGATTTTAATAGTACCAAAATATGAAAACCAGCTAAATTGCTAAAATCAAGTTCATTAGTTCACTTTCAGAAATTTTTTACCTTCATCATTTATCACAAGTCAAATATTATACATCAAGTTATCAATGTAGCAAAAATAATGTTTCTTTAGGGTTTGTTTATGATTTGAGTTGTAATTTTGGTGAAACAAACAGTTGTTTAATAATTACAAAAAAGATTGCAAATAAACAAAATGTTTAAAAGACTTGAATCACATGATTATCATATATCATTATAGTTACAAAACTAGTAAATAGAGGTAGAAACAAAACTTCGGCACATTCTTGACTTTTACACAAACTTCGATATAAATAAGTATTTTGCTATCACATGCATACTTCTTTTTAATTTTCAACCAAAAAAGTAATTTCTTTGTGATACAATCATTTTCACAAAGCTTGTCGCACATTTTCTTGCACAATAAAGAACAAGAATAATCTGTGGTCACCAAACAAGATTCAAACAACAGAAAGATTAGATTGCTAGAACTTTGATCTTGCTATAAACTACTTAACATACACATTACTTAAAAAAATTATAAAAAAGTCAAGCTTTGACAATCAATTTTATAGAAATTTAGATTTCATAATATTACAACCATGCAAAAGAGTTGACATTGAAATAAAAGATTCATTTCTATAGGCTACATTCGAGGTAAATATTTTTCTCACAAATTTTAGATTTGCATCCTTAAGACTACATATGTTTTATTGTAAATATCTAAGTTTGTATCCCATACAATCACAACCAGTTATTTTACACATTGATAGACTGATACTAATCATACTAATTAAATTTACAATAACATGAGTTGATAAGATTGAGTTGATTTCTAACAATCATGTCGTTGTAATAATATTAATAATTACTGATAATTACTTTTCCTGATTACAAAATAAATCTTGGTTTGTATTGTTCTTCATATGCTTCTATACAATTTTATTTGAACTTTAAACGTGATCATCAATGGTTAGCATCATTCTCACAACTTGACTCATGACATCTTTGCTCATTCAAGTTTATTAATCGTTTTAGATAGTCGAAGAAAATGTGTTGAACAGGGCAGTAGCCAGGAAAATTATACGGAAGCGCCAAGAAAAAATACTGAAGTATTTTGTCAATCTCATATAATAACACCTTGATGTACGTTATGGTGTCTTTAGGGATAAAGTCCGGATGATAGCCGAAAACGAGCAATGATACTTCAAACCAATCCAATGTACTTCTCTGAGCTAGCTTCATTGTGTTCGAAAGCTTGTGCGAGTACTAGTTCTTCATTCGTACAGTGGTATCAGGATGGGAAGTATGAAATAACTAACGTGGCGCCGAATCCATGTCATTAGTCAACAAACTGCAGCTTGCATGTTAATCGATTCTACCGGAGAATCAATCTGCTACAAATTTTTCTCAGCAGATTCATCTCTATAGTCATATAACTGATTTATCTGTCTTCCCAATCAGCTCTATGTACTCTTGTCAGAGACGACTAATTGAATGTGTTACGATGAGTTCACTTGACTTTCTACAAGGATATACTAATGGCTTCCAAGCTAGCTATCAGTGAGCCACTGACATGGCATATCGATACAATGATACAAAATTTTAAGCATGAAGCAGATGATAGGTCTATCTTTGTGTCTCTCCTCAGCAGCGTTGGAGAAACGGCACCACCCTTGATTCTTGAACTTGATCATCACAAAATGGAGCACATTACTCGATCTCCTTCCTTTTAATCGACAAATGTGTGTACAAAGTGAGCGATGAAAATTGGTCAATGACCACATGTACAAGTTGCTCACAACTATGTCCTACCGTTGATTCCCAAATTTGGACCTGACCTTTGCTATCAAATCATCTGGACATTTTTGCTGCAAGTTCCCTCACGAGTTTTGCAGCTACCATTGCTGTCATTCCGTCCACTGTATCCCGTTGAGGGTTAAACTCTACGACGTCCCCTCCAACAATATCACCCTGCAGGTTTTGGACGATGTTCATCACATCTCGGAAGCTGAGGCCTCCCGGTTCAATGTGGGAAACCCCAGGAGCGAAAGCTGGGTCGAGACAATCCACATCTATCGATACATATACACCTTTGACTCCTTCACCCAGTTTCTGCACAAAAGCGAGAGAGACACTCAATCCAGGTATCCGTGAACATGGTGGATGAACAAAGTACATCCGTCTGCATCAAGCTGGCAAGAGGTTGCATAATAACAATCAATTTCCTGCACGTAAAACTCGTTTTGAAAGATGAAACGGGACATTTGTGATATCTGGACAAACGGTCGGCGTAGGCTGATAATTCTAAACAAAAGCAGACCAAATCTAAGTTGGTCAAGAAGCAAGCTTAGAATGATTAAAGAAAACAAAGCGAGCCTGAAATATCAGCACCTGGACATACATAAAACACGATTCTGATTGTGAACTTTGATGGGCGGATCCGAAGTCCAGAATCCACATAAGTATTTCTTCACCATGTAAGCAGTCCGACAAGAAAAAGAGAGCAGTAGTCGAGATTGGCAAGTCAACCGAGACTGACGGCAACCGACATCCAAACCAAAACCCTTTCGCGAAGCTTGCGACTTATATCATTGACTGATGCCTTTGTAAGTAAATACAAGTCAAAGCTTATAAGCATCTGATTAACCGATTTATATCTCAAGTAGGGATTTAAGAAGGCATGAGAGAAAAACCCAAACATAATGATCTTCCGTCCAGGAAATTTCTAGAACGGTAAGGAGAAAAAACACACGGAAATCTTCCGCCAGGCGTCAAATGACATTAACGTACCAGGTTTTCCAAAAACTTTCTGTCCTCACTGTAATTGCGCATCTCGTATTGCTCCACCCCGAATTTCTTCCCCTGCTCTCTGCCTTCTTTGTTAATTGAGCGAATCCCCACCTACAAACGAAGTACAATATTGAAGTTTCAGGGAAGGTCGAGGATTCCAAGGGACCATGGGACCCAGCGGACGATAAGTTGTAGGTTAGAAAACACTCTACATTTATCTTCTCACAAACTGTCCTAGTCGCCTGGTCAACTATATCCAGACACTCTGTGACAATCAAGACTATGCACTAGAACGCTGTTCATTTGCAAGTGCGCAAATATATCACCTGAAGGAGTCGTCTTGCATAGCCACCCTCCATGATGCGAGCAAATCCAGAGGCATGAGAATATATGTTCCCTTCAAACGCATGATAGATGTCGGGATGCGCATCCAAGTGGAGGATGTCCACCTGACCCCCGAGTTGTTCAGAAACAGCTCGCACTACTGGGTATGATATGGAATGATCACCGCCCAAAACAAGCGGACGCAGTGGATGCTGAGATAATTATAGATGACATTGTTGCAAAAGTCAGTGAGTGTGGGAAGTGAACGAATGACAAAATTTGATAAACAAAACGCTAAAAACAATTATACGAGTGAGGTTTGCTTTGAAATGTGTAATATTTGCGTGGAGTTGGAAAGTTCTATTTTGTATGAGATTTGCACGGGAAACGTAAATCCTTCTCGGTCAATTTCACCAACCTCGTTCATCACTATTTTCACAGCCTCGGATATGGTGTTCATCAAGCGTTCATCACCGACTCCGCAGTCGCGCATTTCTTGAACCGGAAGGTCTCCTGCATCTGTCATAACACGAACATCTTCGAGGTCTTTGCCTGCAGCGACGTTCAATTCAAATCCACTTCTTCGTTCAGCTCAAGTGGACAGAAGATGCCTCTGACACTCGAAATCTCGTCAGCATAACAGCGGCACAAGCCTACAACAAGCAGAGTACGAAGAGTCATACGGTGAAAGGGAAAAACCAAGATCGACAAAACCTCAACTCGACGGGGAATTCATGTCCTGACCCGATTCTGTCGTGGAATTGGTGCTGCCACACCATATTGCTTCTCTGATGCGAGGAGGAGAGAACGCGGGACCCTGGAGAAAAGACGAATTGTGGCCCAAAGGTACTCCAAGCAGACATGACGTCGCCACTGCACCACCGATTGCTCGAACTTGCTCTCCCTGCCAAGATTGTTCAAAGCTCACGAAATTCACCCACAAGCCCACGCAACCATTCCCCAACAAACCATCAATGAGACGCTAAAACCTACTTCACATTCTTTACTTCTTTAATTCTTTAATTCACCAGGCCGGTCTCAACGTCTCACCGGCGAGATGCGAGCATGTACAGCAAGAACCACCACAAATTCCACAGCAAACCATAAGCGAGGCTTGCTTGCACAAGAAGCACGACTGAACTGGAAGAAGAAGAACGCAGCATCTGTTGGATGACCAGAGAGAAAGAATCGCTAATTTTCAAAAGCAAAGACGGAAGCACAGGCCCAATACCAGTGCAAACACGAGGAATTTACATGCACATCAGAATCGAAGCACATGAAAGAAAATTAAACGATCAAGAATTACCCTGAGGCGCGCCCGCTCACGGACGAGCGTTAGAGAAGCATCGACGACGCGATTCTGTCCCTGACTGATGGACTGAGCCGTGAGCGTCGAATGAGGACGCCCGCGCTGCTGCAGACTCTGGCCAGCTCGTCGCAAGACTCGCCTCGCGATCCCGCCCGTGGTGGCCATCGCTGCGCTCTGCTGCGTCCCCTGAAGAGCCTCGCCTCTAGTCGACAATCGGATGGAAGACGGAAACGAGAGCGAAATTGGAATTCAGGTGGGAAAAGGGCAGGAAAGCTCTGTCGAAGGAGGAGCAGACGTGTAAAGTGTACGCGTCCTCGCGATGGCACACGAGCAACAGATGAATTTAGAACGGACGAAATTCGTGAAGAGAAGAACGCGGCGACTCGCGTCGGGGGGAGTCCAACGAGAATCACGGTTCATGAGGGCTTTAAACTGCTGCACGACTGTAAGAAATCGGATGAGCATGAGATGACGAAACGAGCACTGCCTGTCGATCCAGCCAGTTGCATCGCAGTGGTCGGTCACTCCCTCAATTGCACCGAGGTCCAGTCAGAATTTGGGTGTGCTAGCGTTCTGGAGAATCGGAGAAGAGCAAGCACTCTGCTGTGGGACCCATGTTCACCTACTCCGATTGAGAGTAGCCCGAGATCCATATGCCGTCCATGTAGCAGCGAACAGATGCTCTCGTAATAACCATTTGCATACTCAAGCTCCTCGGTCTATTCATCCACATCTCTGCATCACATCAGCTTTCAATGGCGAGCTCACAAGTGCCTGCCAACTGCAGTCACGTTAGAGCAGCTGCTGCTGGCTTCAAGACAAGAGCTGAATATCTTTCTTGTTGCCAACACGACAGGCCACAAGCGGCACTTCTCAGAGACAAGCGAGGGCGAGCTAGTGCATACAGGGACTTTCTTCATTGTGGCAATAGTCATTGCTCTTCAGCTGTGCTAGATTGAGAGAGTACCGCAGTAATCTGCTGAGTCACGGCAACGGCTGTGTTCGGGTGTAAGGGGAAGGTAAGAGCTGGAGAAGATTGTTTTCGTTGAATACAGAATTTTGAGTCACATAGAAGGGACTGTGACACGACTCATCCTCAGTAGTTTATGAATACAGCAGAGACATAGGTGAAAGAAGAAATAATCACGAGAATTCAATGTGTATGCTTCTTCAAGGCACAAATGACGTAAGAGCTGATAAAATTTCTGCAGTATATCTGGCGCTTTGCTTGGTTGCGACTAACATCCTTTGCTTCTCACGTGATGACGATGAACGTTACAGACCTCTGTGTTTTCGGTTCGCTTGATTGGAACTGTGGTCGGAAATAAGCAAGTAAGAGTTGTGGACGGCCTGAGACGCAGTTTCTTCTCTAGAACCTGACGGAGAACAAGAGTACAAAAAGACCTCGCCATAACAAAACCACTCCTTATGTACCTACCACCGGAACATTTCATGAAACCATGATATCCGCAATTGCAATGCAAAGTCATGCATTATTTGCACTGTCATACTCTTCTACTCACCACACCACTTAACTGTTAAGTGGTGTTAACTGTTGAATATTATGACCAGGTCATGTTAAGTCTTAACATGACCTGGTCATTATACTCCCTTCTATTTATTTCACCAGGATATTGGATCACAATGATTACCGGTTTTCTCTTCTGATCGACTATACTTTTCACCACTCTTCTCTCCATAGCTCTCTATTTGTGAAAGAACCTAATTTATACCTTGATGTTCTATGCAAAGTGTTTAAAGACACAAAAAGTGAGAAAGGATAGACCAATGTGGTTGTTATCATACACCCACATATCAGACCCACCATCGATTTTTCGGGGAACAGGCATTGGTCATGTATAGGCCACAAAGCATATCGTTCTAATTTTTTTCTGCGTGTTGCAACCTTTTGGATAGAACTCGTAGTCAACATGTAGTTTCTTTCATAAACTAAGAGAGACATTTCATACACCATGTGATACTTCAATAGATATGTATAGACATATCTATTGAGAGACATGCATAAAGAAGAAAAGGGAGGACACAAAAGAAGGACACAAAGAAAGTCCCAAGAAGCACCATGACCCGACAGTAGATGGGAACGGATAAAGTGGAAATATCCCCTATCGTTTGACTGAATAAGTGAGGTCTCCCCTGTCGGTCTTCTGAAAAGGTTCAGTGCTTGCCGTCGCGAGTGTGAAACATTAATGCTTCTCGTTGCTCATGTAAGACCCTCTCCTCATAATTGCACCTGCATTTTTTTCCCCATCACATTTGATACCCGTGTTTATCACTTATTTCTTCATTTTCTCCTTTCCCCTTGCTTCTTATTCGCTCTTATTCGGTGGCAATGATGGTTACCTGCCTTGCTCAGTATCACTCGCTAAATGTGATGTTCCTTGCCCCGTTTGAAGAATTTGAGCATCTTCTTTGCTGGTCACATCTATATTTACATCTTCTTCATCATCTCGCAAATGTACGATTATATGTGGAATTAATCCAGTACGTGAGAAAATACGGAATAAAATTCAATCTAAAGCCTAACTCTCGTAATATATATATATATATATATATATTACCATACTATTACAAAGTTATTATAAAAACGATGACATGAATCATTTTGGGTGTAGTAAGCAGGATGATCATACTTTGATTCAGATTGTCTTAGAATTAGATGTTAATGAATTCACAAATGTATAAATTTAATAATGTAATAAAAATCATATCAATTTTTTTAAAAATCTGGAAACTTATCAAATATTAAGTATGATAATACTGATATTCTTTTAAAACGTTGATTTGTTGATAAAAAATATCTAAAAAATCAGTTTGAACCTAAATTGAGTACATAGATATTAAAAAATCATTAAAGTGTTTTTGTTCAATCCATTTGTGATTTCCGGATTATTTTCGAATTCCGAATCTAAAATTTTATGTCATATTATTTAAGTTTATTTTTATAATGAAATTTTTACATTGATTATATATTTTTTAACAGTTTAGTTTCAAAAATAAAAGTAGGTTTTATACTTAGTAGGAACTTATGCATCTAAATTGACAACTTGTGATGATTTTTGTGAACTAAATTCAACATTAATCTAATTCAACCTTGCCAGTTTTCAGATACAAGTCTTAGTGAATTCATTCTTACCAGTTTTAGCAAAACTGTTCTTCACTTCTTCTGAAATTTTTAATACACTTTTTTCCACGAATTTTTTTTATTATAAGGTGTAGATTGTGCTAGACAATGTACCATTTACCATTTACTGATTATTGTGTAAAGATCAATTAAATTTTATTTATCATTATGTAATTATTTTGATCTCTTGAGATTTCAATTTTCTTTTTCCTTGGTTTTTCTAAAGTAATAGTTGATGACCTTAATTGATCTGATTATTTTACCTTTTTTACAAAATAGTGTGAATAATAGTATTAGATAGTTGACAATTTGATGACAAAATCTCTCAATGGTTTCGAAGATTAAAGGCTCATGATGATTGAAGTTAAGAATTTTATTTTTATATATGTAATCTGGTTCGTGCCAAGTTTTTTGTATTATACGACATTGACTAAATACATGTACAATAATTTGTACCATGAAAATAATCTAAATTTCAAATGTTCTCTAAGTAAGAGAATTTCATAGACTTAGCAACAACTATAACGATTAATGAAAGTGAAAATCTCTGTTAGTCTAAACATACAGTTGATCATTGTAGTACTCGTTACTTCCTGCAACACTAGGCGATTTTTTCTGTCATTGTTAGAGAAGTGAGAACATATTATGAAATTGGAACAAAACTTTAAATTTTAACTATTGAGATATTCTTATGCCAACACTCTATTCTTTCCAATTCATAAAAATAAGAATAGTTTATTACTCAATGATAACTATATCTCAATCTTCACTGAAGCTGAGAACCTGGCGGACAAAGAATTAAACGTCCATAAGTTCATGTAGGCTTGGAGATTAAGAATGTCTATGTGACATAATGCATCATCAGTATCTCAATTCACGAAAAGTTGATTGTCGGTCACTTTGTCCACACTATGCAGGGTAAATGATAAGAAAAAATTGGTTGTCACAAGTATTTCAAGGCTAATAGATCGCTCTTTCCATAAAATATATTTGGCTGATCCAAAACAATCCTCTGTCATGTAGTCTTGCAAGGGAAAGGAGTCAAGAAAAGTAGCTGTTTCCATTCAGCAGACGCCTATTCCTTACGCTGATATTAACTCTTCGGCATGAGAGTATGGTTCATTCGTCATCATAACAAGAGAGTGAATCTCAATGGCCAAGAACTCTTTTCTTGGAGTTCATCAATCTTGCTTTCATGCCAAATGTAACACATTCTCTCTTCTCCAAGTAACTATTTCAACATAAACATACAAAAACTCTTAACTCAAAACGAAATCGCTACCCAAAGACACATCTTAAGTGGTCTAAGAACAACTTAGAGAAAATACCTAGAGCTCAAAATATCCGCAACTGCCAACGGATTCGACACATATACTGGGTTGACATCTGACAGGAACCTTGTAGCTCAAGACAGAGCAGCTAAGAAGAAGCCATATTACCCCATATTGAAGTTTGATTTTGGATATACTTAGATATAACACTTCAGAGAACAAATTTACACTCCGAAGACGGAGAATCTGTCTTTTCGCCCCGCACTCTTGACCCCGGCTCCTCCAAAAAATGGTTGATCAGAGTCTGTGAAAACTTTTGAGCAACTTCTTTACTGTTTTGAGGCTAAAATCCTCATCCACAACTGTCTCCAAACAGGTCTCATGTACATGTACTGTCTTCTATGGCCCTAATAATCACTCTTATAGTAAACAACTTGGCAGACTAATTCTTTCGTCCTTCGGAAAGGATGATATGGTAGCCGTGCCTGTAGTCAAAACAGAAAATTTAAGTTAGAGCTGCACGTACTCGGTGCGGAACAACTTACCAATTTCCAAAAGAATGTCCATCATTCATGAACTAAGAGAGTTTGTCAAGAACCAACTTACGTTGACTTGAACGGGGCACTTGTAGCCCCTACCGGTGTAGCAAATGCGACATCTTGAAACGGACCTGCCATTTTCCCTCTCGGAAACCAACCAAGGTCACCACCCTTCTTGGATGATGGACACTCTGAATACTCTGCTGCAATCTGTCAGAAGCAAAATTATTAACTTCGTCAGCAGATTAAATATAACGTCTGCAAAACTGTGCTGCTTTCCGTTCAGCGGTGGCCTTAAACCTTGGATCATCACCCTGAAATTCGATACAATGTATCGATTTGCCCGGCGCGACATTGAGACTGTACCTGTCCACTCTCACTCTATGTAACCAGACCATAACCAAATGGCAGAACACTCTTTAACATCCATTTTAGAAAATTTGAGACTCAAGCACGAACATACAGGACGAGTACGGAGCAACCATCTAACTGTCGGATGATCCACACTTCCAGAGTCGCAGTGGCAGAGCCATCCACGGTACAGGCAAGTACCAGGACACCATAAAAAATCTGCCTACAACATCAGAACAAACCTCTCCCGATAGTATGTACAAGCCAATTCTCGCGAAAGGGCAGTTGAGATCGACGAGTTTTTTGATCTTCGGCCAAGAATGCATTCAAAATTGAATATATCACAAGCATTAGGGTACCTTGGAAAACTCCGCAGACGGAACCTTATCACCGTTACTGAGCCATCCTTCCTCTAATCTCTTGTAGGCTTCGTTGATCTTTCCTTGCTTCTCACAAAGAATATGTCTAGCTGACAGATCAAAAAATGGCCAAGACACGAGCAAGTAACCTTAAATTAGGACGCGAGACCGCAGAAGCTTGTCAGTACGAAATAAAACAATATCAATGCGCAAATCGAATGATTTGGCTGCTGCCGTTCTGTAATAACCCATCGCATGCCTAAACTCGGAGTCATCTGCATCGGTCTAAACTCCGTTCCCAAGCATCGAAGTGAAGGTTTGCCACATGATCTAGAAGCTGAACAATAACCCTCCATACCTTTTACATAAGTACAGGTTCCAAGATCGGCACCCTTTGCCGCTGCCTTTCCCTTGCCCTTTCCTCCGGCATCCTCTGCAGCGGCAGGGGCCTTACCCTTGCCTTTTGCTCCAGCATCCTTCGCTTTTGAATCCTTCCCCATGTCACCAACTCACAATCTGGTCTCACACGCTAGGCCTGCCAACTCTCGACTTCTCTGACCTTGCCCGGCAACTCGACGTACAAACACTGCAACGGCAAGTTGCCGATTTTGCTTATGAACTTCCGAAGAATGCCCTTTCCTGCAGTTTCTGTACTGGACTGCATCTACGGTACCCGTGGTCGGGACAGTAGCTGTGACAAGGCTTTACATCGTTACAGTACTCACGTGTATCGAGATTCCACTACCGCAGAGCAAAGGAAAGGCGTGCTGCATTCCCGTTCAAGTGATCAGGACCCAAAAGCCATGGTTTTGTTATACTCCGTCTACCCAAACAGGATGCCTCTTCTCAGAAGCTCAGCTCAATGTATGTGATGCGGTTTGACCATGTCCTTATTTTCAAAGACCCAATCCTGATTGGAGTTGTATCTAAGCTTAATTCTTTCTCGCATATGAAGTTGTAAATCTGCTTAAGAACTTCAGGTCATTTATTAGAAACTACCTTAGTTAATCTATCTGTAGAAACTAGCTTCAGCGACCTTGACCAGGACTTAGTAGTACATTGTTCGTTAGAAACACATGTTATGAATCAGATTGATCCAATCAGAATCAAGTCATATTTAAAGTATATCGAACTATAATGGTAGCGCTAATGTTTCAAACACAACGCCAATAAACTTCAAATTTTCGTCTCATGAAATCTGAGGGTAAAGTTGAAAGAGGACTAGATCACTGACAAATAGAATGTGGTCGACGTATACTCAAGCGCACAAGGATAAAGTTGAAAGACTTACAATATGCGGTACGATTCTACCACCGGTACGTGAGGTTCTCACGTTTTTGTTGGAGCAGTTATGTGGTTTTGTAATTTCTTTTATTGGTGAGAAAAGGAAGCAAGTCAATTAAACCGCAGACTCTTACGCACTCTCCCTGTTCAGATCCATAGCTCATGAACTCCAAAGCCTTCTAAAGATACAAAGTTCAGGTGATGGACAGTGATCGTATCTATAAGTCTCACAAATATCTACCGAAATACAATACATAGGAAAGATATATATTTAAAAACTCAGAACTTGAAAACCTCCCATTTACATGAATGCTTGTAACATCATCATATTTCAAAATTTTCAACCATGACAAATGAATAAATGAATATCATGAAATCCTGACTTCAGTAGATATTATTGTTGCATGGCATCCAAATTTTTCATATGGCTGTATTGCTTTACCCTCTGGTTTCAAAATTTATGACTTTTAACATGTACAAATTAATAATCAGCAGATATCATGACACAAGTTTTCATCTCACAAATGTCATGTCAAACATGAAAACCCAAAGTTTATAGTGCTCAAGCACAAGTCATATTACTTTGAGTTAGTGAATAGTAAGGTTTACACACTTGCACAATACGTTTCTTCTTATGCGGTATTTTCACTCCTGCTTATTTGTAACTTTCATTACATGGGGCACTGGAATATCGTTTCCGATTTACTATCACAATAAAGATTTTGAGTTTGCATATATCTATATTGTTGACATCGATATAGATCATTCTTAGAGAAATATGTCCCGCCGTTGCGATTTTATTGAATATCTATATGGTTTAGATGTATTTGGGCTGTATATTAGATTTGTTTACAAGGTACTTAGAAGTTTGAGACTTTTGATTACGGGGACGACTAGACCTACACCCGTTTTTGGTAAGATCACACCCGCATGCTAATTACCATGCCCATGATTGTCAGTGGCCATTAGTGTCAGGAAACGAAGATGGAACACCGAGAGGTTCATTGGAATGTGAAATCGACCCAGAAACCTTTCCTCGGATGAGAACTCAGCGACCCGTATTCAAGTCCCACTCCTGCTACAAAGGGTGACGTCATCATTCACCCATCCTGCTCTAGGGCCACATCCGTTGTTGGTTCGGCCACACCCTCTTTTGAAAGGCGGGTGTGGTTTAATAATATTCTTTGATTATATGAAGAATGGTTTCAATGATTTCTCTTAGGATTAGGGGTAAAAATTATACATATTTTCTTCTACAGATTGTGATTGGCATATTATTTGATTTATCGTTAATTTTAGAATTTATCTTTGCTGTTTATTATAAAATATATGTTTTTTCTTCTCTTCTATTTTAATTTTTTCTCATTTATTGTTTTACTTTAGTATTATATAATTTTTCATGATATATGTCTAAAAGTTTTTGGTTACTTTCTTCCTTCTTCCTGTTTTTTCCTTTCGTTTACCCATAGTTGAAATTTTCCTCGCTTTCTTTCCTGATTGTATTTTAACTTGGTTTTTTTTTACCTTTCATTTTCTTTTCCGTGCATTTCTTCAATACTTATCCAATCATCACAATTCCTATCTTCTTCCCCGTGATCAATTGTTCAAAATCATTTTCACAATGCATCGGAGTGCATTACGGACAGCAAACCTCTGGTGTTTGAAGACAATTAAACCATATCCAAGATACATGAATTGTAAATTTGATGATTTCCATCTCTTCACGATACACATCCTTGAAAGGGAAGACGGCTGACTGTCAGGATGACAGTGAAAAGCGTCATTTCGACTAATGAAACATGCGCTCCGAGGCCATGAGCCTTCGGAGACCCGAAGCAGAAATTGTACAATGTAGTTCCACCGATAAGAATATTACAGCGAAAAAGTTGTTCTAACTATTGTGGCATTTTGAGCGATACACTAAAATCTACAAGACGGATCGTGGGATGATGATGTTGGCAATGTTGTTGGCCCATGGGTTGGACAGGTGGCTGGCCAAGTTCTCCAGGGGTCCGGTTCCGGGGTAGGCGATGGCCTGGACAGAGAATCCCAAGAAAGCAAGAAGAGCGAGACGACCTGCATATCGCACAGAAAACACAATCAGAATTAAACAATGCCGGAAGATTTGCATACCTCTAAGTTTGAAGTGCGAAGATCCAGCGTCAAATATGATTGGGCAATGGCCAATCTCAAATGTCGACAGACATAGCTACAAAGTATCGACGCGTTAGCTATTAGATTAATACAGTGTCACCCGATGGGATAAGATCCCTTTAAAATATAGAAAGTCCACCAATGTAGGCTTCCTTACCATTCTTGAGCTCCTTGAGCTTGTACTCCTCGAGCTTCTTGGGGTCCTTGGCGAAACCCAGAGGGTCGAATGGGCCTCCTGGGTACTTCCTCTTCTCGTGGTCGGGCTCCTCCCCCCTCTTGGCCTCGACGAAAGCAACGGCGAGGAACTCGATAGCGAGGATGATGGGAAGGGTGCCCCATGGAACGGGGTTACCAAGGTAAGTTGCTTGACCGCCGGGGGTGGCGGCCCATTGCTGGGCTGACACCCAGTTTCCGAGACCAAGAGCCTCAGGGATCAGGACACCGGGCTGCAGACGTAACAGACTGAAGATCAGACATGGACACATAAAAAAACCCCCTTATGTACAATCTATAATGCAGAACAGAAAACAAAAGCACATGAGATTGCACTCACCACTGCGAGCATGGCCCATCGGCAGTGGATGAGCTCTGACTCTTTGTACCGGGCGAAGTTCTCTGGAACCTCAGCAAGACCGAGAGGGTCGAATCCGAAGTCTCTGAGATTTCAATACAGCTCCGTCAATTTCCAACTCTTGTCGACGGCAGGGAGACGGCAGAATTCACATGACCGACGGCGGGTCAACTGAAAACATCTCGACAGAAACACTAACTCCCAACATAAACTCCGAAATTCACAAGGCAATTAGACAGAACGAGAAATGCGGCCCTTCCCCGGCGAGTTTATCAGACGCAATTGAACTCCAAGGACGGTATAAGCCAGAAGTCATTGAAACGCCTACCCTGGGGACGATCCATCGAGGTAGGCGGGGCGGGGCTGGCCGGGCATCCACTCGGAGGACATGGACACTCTGCTGCCATTGCTCACGGTCGAGAGGGACGAGACGTGACCGCTGAAGAACTTGGTCCTCTGCGCTCCGCTGAGCAGGGCGGGGGCTGAGAGACCTACGCACGCCATGGTAGCAGCTGCCATTGTCGCGAAAACTTGCTCCGCTGCTGCTGCTGCTGCTGTTGGTGCTGACCTTGCAAGGCGATGGAGAACAACACACGAACTGCGCGTGCCTTAGCGGAGAGAGGAGGATCTCAAGCCCTTGGAAGCTGCGGGTCGGATGAATGTTTGAGATAAAGCGAAGCGCTTCGCCCTGTGCCGTCGCTCGAGGGATATCCGCTGGAAAATCGCCAACCTCACCCTCATTGGCTCCTTTGTGGCTAACGATCCCTTCCTTCTGTCATCGGCCTTTTCAACCTCAATCTGTTAACTTTCACATCCATTAGTCCCGGTCCCGTCTCTCCACGCCGGATTCCGACCCAGCATCGCCGAATGTATCGCCCTTTCCTTTGGGTCCTATTTCTGGCGCCCGTTATCAGGGCCCCATTAGTGCCAGTGTTGGACGGCCGCTACTTTGGTTTGTCTGGTAACATGCAAGGTAGAGGCCCGAGATTCTTCTAAATGAAACCAAGTAGACCAAATATGGATTACATCCTCATGGCGGTCGAGAGTTAAATTGTGATGATTGTGTAGTATTGTATAATATCAAGATCGAGAGAGAAGTTATGTTACTCTTGGCTACAACGATGATGTTTAGTTGGTGTGATGATTCACATACCTTTTTGTTTTTCATCTCACAATTTTAAATGATTTAGATGCAGCAATAATTCATATTCATAGTACTAGTTGTCTTCAAGTTTAAAAATAATGAAATTTTGATGTTATTGTGGATGTGGTATGTTTTATTGTTTGTGAAAGTGTATACCTTGTATGCATTAGTGTTGGTATGCACCGAATTAACTAAGATTGTGGAAATTGTAATATGGTTAGAAGAAGTTTCGGTTGCATATATGATGATCCAATCTTCCACATAACATTATCTCAAACGGATTGATTGATTATTGTACTAAAATTGAGGTGAATGTAGTAACACAAATCAAAGTTTCAAATGTGATGATATGTTGAAAGTCAGTTTCTTTGATCAAATAGCTTTGGAATCATAGGGAGTTATGTACATAAATTTTCACATATTGTAGAGACATGACTGAAGTAAACAAAAGCCTATCAAACCATGCAAGAAAGAGTGTCATTTTCTTCTGTCTTCCCAAACTAAACCAAATGTTAAGAATATTAGAGAGAAAGTGTTCTCATTGCTTTGTGAAGTTCATTGATTAATTATATATATATATATATATATATATTATGGTTTCTTATGGAAATTTTGTGCTTCGTAAATGTTTTATGCCCTCCGGGCCTGCGGCTTATGGCTACAAGTTTATCTTAGACTCTCAAATAGGTTGTTTTTGTTTGCGGACCGAAGGAGTCTCGCCAAATTCAATCTTATTTGACCAATTTTGGATGTGGATAGTTTGGATATCATATGTGTTGAATGATGTATTTTATTGATTTAATCAATTAAGTTAATTCGTATGTAATGTCTTTATTTAAAGTGGCATATCACTTCTCATGTGATATCTTAAACCCCTAGGATTGACGGTAACTTTCATTAGGTAAACACATACTCGTAAACACTAGATAATCTCTCTAGAGTAGCAACATTCTAAGTATCAAAACTAGATCCATGCAACTCGGAATCAACACCGTATTATGTTGCAAGTTGTGATGGGTATATATTAAACTAGAGTGTTATACAAACATTCTAATACAATATGATAGAATGTTTAAAAAATTGCATTGTATTGAAACTTACTATTTGGCATTCTCAATTGCATCATCATTTTCGTTAAATAGTTCCAAATTGAACTACTCAAAACTCATATCTTAGTCCATGAAATCAAACTCTATCTATCCAATCTACTCCAATCCAACCTCATATTGCATGATCCCTTCTATTGACTCTTGCTCTTGGGCCTCATCAACCACAATCGTGAATGATGAAATTTTCTTGAGAAAAGTTCATTCTTCACATCTCTATGAGATTTCTTCTATTGACAAAGAACTTTGCATTGTAGCATATTAAACCAATCAAAGATTTTGGATGTTTGGTGCATGCCATCACATGAGATTGCAAACTATAGATCTCGGCCACTATGGTTGAATTGCAATGGAGACATCTGAGTATCACTGTCTTTTGGTTGCATATAGCAAACTTCTTAGAATCAATTAGACTATATATAGGGTGACGACTACGGAAGTAAGAAGTCTACTAGAACCAATCAAAGATTTTGGATGTTTGGTGCATGCCATCACATGAGCTTGCAAACTATAGATCTTGGCCACTATGGTTGAATTGCAATGGAGACATCTTAATTTCACTGTCTTTTGGTTGCATATAGCAAACTTCTTAGAATCAATTAGACTATCTATAGGGTGACGACTAAGGAAGGAAGAAGTCTACTAGGTCCACATAATATATGATGATTGATGGTGAAAAATGCTCAAATTGCAGTGAGTTGCTTTCAAATTCGGAGTTACCATTTCCAATTCATTTCCTTGCATTTTAAAGGTTTTATAACGCACTTTGGAGCAATGTACAATTTCAAATTTGGACAATAGTGTATAATACTATATTAAACTCACAAAATTTGGACGTTGAGTATAATACCCAACACTAGTTGCATGGTATTTTAATAGCATATTTTCATTGCTCCAATTCTAACGAATCGGGATCCGAATCGCAATCGATTCTGAATTTTTGGATGCTAGCTTAGTATGTATGACATTAGTTCGTATGTATTAGCTGCATTTGGAAAAATTTAACATTGTGATTAACAATGCTATTGAGGCGAGCCCATCCTACCACTTTGGTTTCATCAATCTCTGTAGCTCATAGGGTCTTCATATACTTTTTTCGCGAAATTACACGGTTTCATGCTTTTCGTAAAACATTGATGAAATTAAACAGAATGATGGGACGCAGTCGCTAAGCCCAAGGGAATCCGATCTTTAGTCAAGATTACATTTTCTCATCACAGCCATGCGTTCTTTAGTAAGAGGTTCTTCTATGTAAACTGGAGACGTGGTAAAGCTGATGGGAACAGATTAACGCATTTGCAACACTCATTATGGTCATTGCGACACTTCTTGTATGAATCATCAAACACTGACAGAGAGTGTCTTGTCAGGAGTCGCGATCCAAAGATTATATCGCAGAATTTCAACCTGCATCGAAGTCAAAGATTTTAACCCTTTGCTGAAGATGACACTTCATGGTCTGTACCAATAAAAGTTCAGTTCACGTTCTCTTTGTATTAAGAGTAGAGACCTTGCAGAGTTTACTACAGTGATAAATCTACGTGACAGTGGTTCGTGTTACTATGACACTACGACAGTGAGCTCGAGACTCACAAACGTTGTAGAAAACTGCGGTGATATCAGAACTGCTTTCTATGGTGCATGCATTAAAAACTTTTAATTTTAGAATGTATCTGATTTTCAAGTTCCACAGACCGGCACAACTCAGCATAATAGGACCATTCAAGGTACGGCACAAACTTCTTCAGGAAGAGAGGAAAGTTTTGACTCAGTGTCTCGCAAGGGTGTAAACCATTTTTTCCCTGAGAGGAGAATGTAGCGGCAAGGGTCTACCGAGCACGGATATAGGTTAGTGTCGATGTGCATCTTATTCGGTATTGGTGGACCCAGACACAATATCAGTTTCATTTAACAGCACTGTTGGTTGACATCAGAGTACTACTCAAACCGTACTCATGAAGAGAATTATACGCCAACAAAACAGTACGACGTTGAGACTTCAACTATCTGAGAACTCCAGGCTACTGGGCTCATTGCCCTTCCTCAATTCACAGAACCAAGCACACCCAGCATAAGAATGCATATCATGCTGCATCAGGATACTGGACCAAATCACAACTTTTACAAACTTCTAAGTTCAATAGGAGTAAGTAGTACACTTCAAAGATCAGGAATCAGTTTTGAGTCTGCATCGGAGTAAGGTGACAGACTTCTGGATAAAAAATTGTTTTAGACAGCAGTGTTGCTGCTTATTATCTGACCTGTCATCAACGTTGGAAGCATCCCAAAAGGTGAAGCTACGCAAATCTCTACTACTAACTAGATTCTCAGCCGAGCTACCCGAACTAGTAGGAAAGGCTGTGGCATTGATGGAGGCCTCAGTATACACCTCGCAATTCAACAACTGATGCTTGTAATTGACGCCACTTCGGGAAAATTAACAAACGCAACCCAGAAGGATAAGGCACTAAGACAAGTGTCTCAATATATCTTGTTCCCGTTGACTATCTCAATCTGAGTCAGATTCCATTGCTCCGGGCCAGTGGGGATACCTTTTCATCACTCAGTGCTAACCGCTGCAAAGAGTTAGAGCTCTCTTCGAACATCCCTATTCTCAGTGGTAATTAAGCAAACGGATTAAGCTGGATTAAGCAGGTCAAGTGGTTATAAATCCAACAACATTGACTCACTTAAAATCTTGTGAATCAAAATGCAACACCAGATACATTGACCATCATTTGGAAAAGAAGCTAAAAGCCTCAACAACAGGCTTCAAGCACCCATGATTGATAGGGAATACAGACCTGCTATCAAGCAGAATGGAGGACAGATACAACTGTGACCCCTAGAATCATGACTAGGCACATAAATTACATCATTTGCATGCTCCAAAGCACAATGTGGTGCATTTGCAACTTTATCTACTTGAAACTACCAGAAAATAAACTCAGTAAGAACAAGGGCCTGCTACGATTCAGAGATACGTTGATGATATTCTAAACGTATCCCTGAAAACGTTTTTACTGAGAGCTGGACATTTCTCCAGCTACCAGTAAAAACTTAACTTGGCAAACAAAAGAGCCGCGTACGTACCCTGAGCTACTCAACTACTACGAAGGTCTAAACCCTTAGAAGACCTGTAAGTAGAAGAAAGACATTGAGCTCACCTCCACTTTGCTTCAGGCCCCGCGGAGGATTGTACTATATTTGCCGTTACTGTACAAATCAAAGGAATGGCAACAGAGCATACTGTGTGTAGAACAAATTCCAAATGAACCGATAAAATCCCGCTATAGCCTCCTTCGAGTACTTGGCAGAATCCAGTAGCCATGTCTGGTACACCAAAGCCACCCCTAAGCATGCGTGAGCCGTAACCATCACCCTTGTGTTGAATGCATCTGGCATTAAAATTGCGGCTCCTATGGCTCCCACGTAGTTCATCAAGAGCAGACCTGAACCCAAAAAGGAAATTTTCTGCACTCCCATTCTGGTTGCAAATGTGGAAATGTTGAATTTTTTGTCACCCTCCACATCAGGCAGATCTTTAGTGATGGCAATCACAGTGGCGAAGAGGGTAACAAAACAGGTGATGAAAACTATGGAGGGGCTCCACTGGAAATTCAAGCCAAGGGCTGCCCTGGTCGCATAATAAACGCCAAAATTGAGTAGAAATCCTCTTACCGTAGCAATAATGAGAAATGCTGGTACAGCGAATCTTTTGAGACGAAGAGGAGGAACAGAGTATATAGCTCCTAGAAAGAGACCAAAGGAGTATAAACCAGTAATCAGAGGACCAAAATTGGTGGAAACTAAGCCAACGCCCAGGGCAGCCAATCCCAGAACTAAGACCCAGGCGGAAGTGACAGATAAATCTCCGGCAGCTACGGGCAGGAAGGGCTTGTTCACTTTATCGATTCCCACGTCATAAATTTGATTAATTCCTACAATGTAACCATTCCCACACAGAAGAGCAAGAAGTCCTCTCAGGGCTTTCGGCAGAAGAACCCAATTTATTAATTGAGGATTTTCTAGCAACGCTTTAGCCACCAGGGCTGACGCTCCAATACACGTCCCACGAATGGTATGGGGCCTCAAGAATCTCCAAAACGCATCCTTGAAATTCCCTATCTGCTTCCCTAGTGATACCTTCGGGGCACCCGACTCACCGCTAATTCCTGCTTCTGACGACCTCGGCTCAGGTTCTCCCAACTGATCACTACTGACAGCATTGACTCGCACGAAATGTCCATCCCTGCGGCTCCTCGACTTCGACGGACACCTCCACCAGCTTGAACTCAACCTTAAGCTCACAATTTTGGTAGATCCCAGAAACTGACTGCTGGGATTATAAGCTTGTGACGTCCTGTAAGAAGCACAATTCAACTGGGAGGTAGCATTTCCAGTGCGCTGTCGAACCACACGCAGAGAAGGTGTCAGAATAGACGACGACATTCTCTCCGTGTGGCTCTCCGCCTCAAATTCCTCCCTTCTCAAAGCATGTGGGAAACAGAAAATGAAACGAACCAACAAGCACTTCCTCGAGAAACTCGAAGGCCTTCGCGTGAGCACGCACGCAAGCTCTCAACACAGAGCTTGCGAGCGAGCGAGCGATTGAACGAACGACAGACACGGCGGGACCAGGATGAAGAGATATCCCTCCGACCCCAAAGCCAAACAAATGCTGACATGACATGAGTGCTGCCCCGACCAAACCAGACGTGAGTCCCTCTGACCGCTAACCCCGGCCGAGTTTCAACCCGGGTTGAAGCTCTATTGCAATCGGCTCCGCTGTTTGTGACCCCACACGTCAAATGTGGCGTCCACCTTTCATCTCCCGCTACTTCTCTTCGGGTTTCAGCTCTTCTTTTAAACAAACAACTTTGGTACCCACTCTACTAGAAAAATTTAGTTGCAACTCAACCTTCACACAGTAAATTATATGAAGTTTAAAATTTCAACTTCGAAATGAATAGAGAATGTAGAGTAATCGCCTAACATGATTATATTCTTGTGTACATCATAATCCAATTTTTATAGTATATGGAGATATGAAAACACATTCATTGAAACAATTTCCACAATAATCTAGTAAAAATTACACAAGAATTGCATTGTGAAAAGTTATTTCCAAGGTTACATATATACTTTGAATATTGTGAAAATATTTCTACAACTTTATTACTAGCACACTTAAAAACGAGTAATACTAAAAGAAATTGTGATTGGATAAATCAAACGCATGAAGAATCTCAATGCCATGGATATGTAAATCGCTCAAATTAAATGATAATTGTTTGATCATGGATTATTTAATCCATGTCAATTAAAAAACATCAAACATTTTGTAATATATAATGCAAAAAAAACTAAGAAACACGAGTTTTTTGATGTGATCAATAGGTTTATCATGTAGATGGGATTGACATAGAGCATGGTCAATCTTCATTGAGACAGCCAAATTTCTCTACATTTGGATGTGAACAAGATCTGGAACAAAAAAGTGAAACACATCGACATTATGTATTTTTTCAACAACTAACAATGTTTGATAAAATGATTGAACTAGTGAAGATTGACAGTAAACTTAATGCTGCTGATTTGTTAATCAAAGTTATTTTTTTTGAGAATTCCAGACAACACGATGCTGTTATGATTATGCATAACAAAGGTGAAGTTTGCTGACATAGTGGCTCAAATTATATCTATATATAAACACTCTATCATAAGATATCTACGTCTTAATTCTAATTAAGTTTCGTGTAAAGAAGTGTTTCCTATCTTCGGGCTCACTCTCATTCAAGTTTTTCTCAGATGTCTTAGAGGTATCTCATCATAGTTCTAGAAGCCTAGAATTACTCTTCATGCTCATGTCTCAAACACTCTTTTACATATTTCTTTCATTTCTCACTCAAATTCACACATACATCAACATTCCAAAATATTGAAACCTCATTTGTTCATTGATGAAACAAATCTCTACACAAGAAGTCTCTAAACTCATTTGAATGTATATTCTCTTCCTTTTTATATATATTACTTGAGAAGTTACTATAGTAAATAGAATATCAAAACATTCTTATCCAACTTACTTTTACATAAAAACAAGTAATAAATAAGTAATTGCGTTTTTTAAATAAAAAAATTATTTACACATTCAAGGTTTACATTTTTTTCCATGACAAAAAGCGTGCAAGATTTGCAAGGTACTCTATCTTTATAAAAGATTTGCCAAGTTGCAGTACATGAGCTAGTGAAACAAATCATCTAAGAATGTTGAGGAAAAAGTTAGCAATGAATGATTATTATTTTTTACTTCTAACAAGTTAATTATGACATGATAAAAAAACGTTTTAATTTTAAAGTCAATTTAAAAGTTGGCCGGGTGATTGTTTTAAACTTGGCCATGCAGAAGGAATTGAGGAATAATTTGAGTTTCACAAGGAGTAAAAAAAGTGAAACTTAAAAGATAAAATTCACAAAACAAATGTAAAAATTGATTTGGTAGATGATGCTACTTAAAAGTTGTGTATTCATAATTAAAAGATTGAAGTAAAAATTAGTAATCATAATGTTTCAAACATGCTAATCGATGAAGTCTACAATCAACGTAATGTTCAAAAGATTGTTGTTGAAATTGAACATAAGGTATTTTAGACCTTCTAGTATAAATATTGATAAATCGTATAAATAAAATGTCCAACTTAATGTATTGTTTACAATATTGGAAGAAGTGAGATTCAAATTTTGTTATACTCCAAATGCTTGAAATTAGTTAAAATGGGTTGTTGGTTAAGGATACTCCAAAGTATTGATCTATGACACAAAGGCTATTTTAATATAAAATAAAGAATTTATTGCACAAAGATTCTATTGATATGAATAAGAGATGCAACAACATACTTGTATAGATCATATATTGAATATTGGACAATTGTAACACTAGTGTTTAATAAATAAGCTCATTCAAAGATACAAAAGAAACGTCAACAAATAAAATATATCTAAAATATTATCTTTTATTTTTTATATAGAAAAACTCTCATTTCTACCATCCAATTCACTCAACTGATTTGATAATTTGGCAGATATACATAATGAACACATGTATTTTTTACATTTTGTTTCCAACTAACATACCAACTAGCAAGCTCAATCTTTATTTAACAATCACACGGAATGTGAACGTGTCACTATCAATTAACATGGTTACTTTTTATCTATCAAACATCCAGATCGTTGACATGACGACTATGGATTGTCCATTTGAATACGATTATATTTCCATCTTGATTAACTTCTACTTTACTCTGACTATATAAATATTATCACATGAAAAAGATAAAAAATGATTTAAAAGTTGACACTTGCCTATCAACTTTCAATTAAGAAACATAATCGCATGATTACCTCGAATGATGTTCAAAATGAAGTTTTTCTTGTGGTTGCTTTCTAGGTTGGGGTGGTGAAAGATTCTGACAAAATGAAGATGAGCAAGAACGAAAAGTCTAGACGACTTTTCACAATCAAATTTCATACAAAGTTTACTAAGGAGTAAAAGCAAGATTTTTGGATAAATTTTGCAAATGTACGCAGGTTTTCAACTTTAATTACAAAGATCTAAAGCATGTTATCATCACATCGACTTGAAAGAAACAACTTATCTTATTTGAAAAAAACGATGTTGAATAAATTCAACTAGAGTTGTGTTTGTGAGAGCAAATATTGATAAGTTGAAAGATGTTGGTTTTCATCTACAAGGTAGTATATTTTGAATGAATATCTATTAAAGTGATAGTGAAGAAAAAAATTCTAAACTATGTGTATGCATTAATCACAAAAATTTAAATTCTGTCCAAATGAGCTTCTAGATAAATTTGCAGATCATGAATGGTATCTTTTAAGAGATGCATACAGTGATATGTCCAAATTCAAATAGCTTTTGAAAAGTAAATAACAATTAATTTCATCACATCATGTGAAACTTTTGCTTTTAGTTGATGTCATTTGATCTATGCAATGTTGTAGCCACCTTTCAAATGTTCATAAATAATATGTTTGAATCTTTTATTGATAAGTTTAAGTAATATTTCATGGATGATTTTTGTATATTTGTGAAGAAAAAATACCATTTGATCAAAACACATCAACGTCTGAAAGAAGTTAAAAATTCATTCAATTTATAACATTGTAGTTTTATATATGAGAATGTAGTGTTGTTGGATCAAACTGTCTCCATGAAAGTAATAGGTGTGGATACAAAAAAGCTAACACTAACTTCTGATTTATATGTTTAAATAAATACTATATTCTAACAAAACTCATCATTTCACTCCTCTAATATGATTTCATCTTACATACTATTCCATTTAAAACAAGAAATTGGCTTGATCTTTGATATTTTGAATGTTCATATACTATTTGACTCTGCAATATAGATAAATATTGATTTAGATTAAATTTGAATCTTTGATATTGAAATTTCAACCTTTGTCTTTCAAAATTTTCAATTGTTATATTTCATTTTTCTAATGTAAGATTTTTTAAGATTTTATTGTTAAGATGACTTGCTACTTTGTAACTCTCTCTATTATTCATGTCATCTTAATCATAATTGCATTTGAGATCTCATTCATGTTTTTGTGCTTTGTCATTTACTATAATATAAAATAAATATAATAATAATCCAATATTTAAATAAAAAATCATAAAAAATAAAATTTTGTTTTAAAATCTCTTTATCATATTTTTCCAAAAAAAATATCTTTATATCATTTTCTTATGTATTGATTTCATTACTACATACGTGTTGAATCATATAAGGTAAATGGTTCATAAATTAAATAAATCAAACATTCAATAAAAAAAATGTATATTATAGAAAACTAAATTTCTTCATAACTAACAATTGTAAGTGTTATACGCATCCTTGAACTCATCACTTAGATTATAAGATATGCATCCCAATATGCCACAATGTAGATGTTGTAATGATTATTTTTCCTATTAAAAAAATGTCAATATCAAATATACTGAAGATCAGTTATGAGGTATTCTAATGCATGTTCATGTATGCAAAATCACACACTTTTTTTCAATCTCTCTACATGTTGATCATTGAATTATGCCATAACTTATATTTTTCAATAACCAAATTCCATTATAACTTTTCTGCCATTTGATAAGTGTTGTACTATAATAATAATACAAGAAAATGATAGATAATAATAATATATCTACTTTTACTTATATGCATCTTTTCAAAAAATATAAGTACATAAGATTTTAGTCTCATTATTCATTTCACTCTTAGTGGATTAATGACATGGCAAATATATGTAACAAGAAGATAAATTTCTCATGTGTTGCTATTTGCATATCAATCAATCTATTTATCTAGCCTAGTGATTTACTAACGTTTTGTTGTCAAGTATAGCATTTATTATTTACTTATCTAGCATATGGATTGCTAATGTGGTGCTAAAAATTAACACAGATACTTTCTATATATCTAGCACACAAATTTGCTCATCTGTTGCTAATAAATAATCCATTTATTCCCTATCAATCTAACACATAAATTTGCTAAGGTTTTGTTGTCAACTTACGCATTTAATCTCTAACTATCTAGCACACAAATGTCTTACATTGTGACAGTAGATCTACCAATGTAGATAATTCACTATAATTCATTTC